GTACCGTCTAGCACAGCGTCCCTACACTTCCTATACCTTCGATAATATGACACATCAGTGGATTGTGTAAATGACGATAATATGACACATCAGTGGTTTGTATAAATGACGATAATATGACACATCAGTGGTTTGTTTAAATGACGATGATATGACACATCAGTGGTTTGTTTAAATATCAGTTGTTTATGTGAGTAACGATAATATGATTTATCAGTTGTCTGTGTAAATGACACTTATGATAATTCACTGGTTTGTAAAAGTGACGATAATACGAAATACCAATGGTTTGTGTAACTGAAAATAAAATTAATTTTAAATGATTGGTGTAAATATTATTGTGTAATTGATGATAACATGTAAGTGACGATATGATGCTTTATCATATGGTTTGTGCAACTGGCGATAAAATGAATTATACATTTAAAGCGTCTGTGTAGGTGAAGATGATATGAAATATCAATGGTAAGTGTAACTGACAACAACAAGACACAGCTGTCAATAATGTTACATAAACGATGTTTGCTATTGCTGATTGCATGGATTATCAAAGGCGTTTATAACAGATTATTACAAAAAAAAAAAAAAAAAAAAAAAAAACTTTAATAACTCTAATAAACAACAATTTGCTTGCCACTTTTTATTTATTAATTAAATTGTTTTTACAACTAAGGAACATTGGGTAGAACTTTTATCGCATCATTTGCCTGTCAAAATGTCGTCAGAGGGAGTAATAAGTGTCGACCCCACCAATGATTGTGGCGGTGGTGTTATCGGAACATATTCATATTTACACCTGCGACGTTTCCGTATCTCGTAGCCCTCTCTTTGCTCAAGGTCGTCTGAGTTACTCCCATACCTGTTACAGAAAATAAAATTGCCTTCAAGAGCTATTTATTGCCACAAAATTAATAAAAATGATTGCAATAGTGTTACTATTCAATAATTATTTTTCAAATTATCCTATATAAACTATTTTTTTCACTTGACCAATATAAACTATTTTTCTCACCTGACCTATACAAACGATGTTTTCTCATTTCACTTATATAAACGATGTTTTCACAATTGACCTATATAAACGATGTTTTTTCACTTGACGTATATAAACGATTTTTCTCACTTGACCTATATAAACGAAGTCGATTTTCCCACTTGACCAATATAAACGATATTTTCCCATATTAAACGATGGAGATTATCTCTTTAGACTTACATAAACGATGGAGATTTATTTCTCTTGACCTATATAAACGATGGAGATTTTTTCTCTCTTGACCTATATAAACGATGGAAAGCTTTCTCTCTTGACCAATATAAACGATGGAATTTTTTCTCTCTTGACCTGTATAAACGATGGAAAGTTTTCTCTCTTGACTTATATAAACGATGGAGATTTTTCTCTCTTGACCTATATAAACAATGGAAAGTTTTCTCTCTTGACCAATAAAAACGATGGAATTTTTTCTCTCTTGACCTGTATAAACGATGGAAAGTTTTCTCTTTGACCTATATAAACGATGTAGATTTTCTCTTTTGACCTATATTAAACGATGGAGATTTATTTCTCTTGACCTATATAAACGATGGAGATTTTTTCTCTCTTGACCTATATAAACGATGGAAAGTTTTCTCTCTTGACTTATATAAACGATGGAGATTTTTCTCTCTTGACCTATATAAACAATGGAAAGTTTTCTCTCTTGACCAATATAAACGATGGAATTTTTTCTCTCTTGACCTGTATAAACGATGGAAAGTTTTCTCTCTTGACCTATATAAACGATAGAGATTTTTCTCGCTTGACTGACATGAACGATGGAGAATTTTAACTCTCGACATATATAAACGATGTAGATTTTCTCTTTTGACCTATATTAAACGATGGAGATTTTCTTTTTTGACCTATATAAACGATGGAGATTTTCTCTTTTGACCTATATTAAACGATGGAGAGCTTTCTCACTTGACCTATATTAAACGATGGAGAGCTTTCTCACTTGACATATATAAACGATGGGATTTTTCTCTCTTGATCTATATAAACGATGGGAATTTTCTCTGTTGACCTATATAAACGATGGTGATTTTTCTCTCTTGACCTATATTAAACGATGGAAAGATTTCTCTCTTGACCTATATAAACGATGGAGATTTTTCTCGCTTGACCTTTATAACTGATGGATAATTTTCTCTCTTGACCTTTACAAACGATGGAATTTTCTCTCTCTTGACCTATATAAACGATGGAGGTTTTTTTATTGACCTTTATGAACGATGGAGATTTTACTCTCTTAACTTGTATAAACGATGGATAAATTTCTCTCTTGACCTTTACAAACGATGGAGATTTTTATCCCTTGACCTATATAAACGATGGAAATTGTTCTCTCTTGACCTATATAAACGATCGAGATTTTCTCTCTTGACCTTAATAAACGATGGAGATTTTTCTCTCTTGACCTATGGTCAATTGTTGGAGGCCGGTTAACATTCAAATAAATCATCATTACCGGTGTGTTTTTTGGCAACAGGAGATATTTAACATTACCAATAGTGCTACATTGTTATAGTAGCTTTCCTATGGCCTTTTTCTCCTAAATTCCAGTAATGTATTTAAATGCAACAATTCAATTTATGCTTCATTTTCATGAGAATCTTTTCATGAACTATGTCTATTTTGTAAGGTAAGGGGGAACCATTTTAAGTAGAGTTGCTGACTTACCCACAACAGATCAGTCCATCTGTAGTACAGGAACACTCCAGACACCTCCTGTAGTAAATTCTGGACTCTCCCACCTTTAACTTTCGGCGTGTGTTGTATTTGCAGTACTGTTTATCTTCATCTTAAATCAGAGAGATTATATAAAAATGCAATGCATCAAAATACATATCATTTCAACTTAGATTTTGTTTTGTTTTAAATCCATCAATAATTTATTAATTGCCTGAGGACGGCGACACACATCTTAAACAAAAAAAACAAACACTTCCTATACTTCAACTAGAGAATGAAGTGAACATTCCTAACAAGAGAAATATACTCATCACAAAATGTCCTTCTATAACATCTTGTGAAATAAAGAAATATTGTTATCAAATCAAATAATCAGCTTATTAAAAGAGAATTATGCACATCACAATCATTCCTTTTATTATGACTCTTAAAGTATAGACAAAAAAATACCTATAAAACGACTATAGAAATATTCAAATCCCCCCCCCCCCCCCCCCCCAAAAAAAATGCACATTCCATCAACGACCAATTAATTCAAAACTTTCGAAACACCCATTTTTACCGAAATGTATAACAACACTGGTGTCCAGCGTATTGCACCGACGACACGTGGATCCAACGAAATAGTTGAAAATCAGGAATGGCATTCCGCTACTCATTACAAACGGGAAAGCTCAGCCACCGTTACAGGCTAATTTGGTAGTTGAAATAGCCAGCGCTGCATCCCGTCCAGTGCGTCCTCGATTGGCAAAAGGACAGGTGATACTGCAGGTCATGGCAACACAACCACATTCTGCTGGGTTAGTAAATCAACCACAACGCCTGCAATGTGTGCTCTAGTGTTGTCATGTTACAGTAGGACGTGAGGTTGTTGCACAATTAGATGCGGTGGGTTTGCAGGATCTGATTGCGGTACCGTGCACGCGTCAAATTACAATCACTGATCATCTTATGTTCTAGCATTTACTGGCATGCCGCCCTAGACCATCACACTACGTCCGCTGAGGGGACGACGTTCTAAGACACAAATATCCTGAAAACGCTCTCTAGCGCAACGTTACATACCGGAGAGGTCGTCACGACTGTCCAAGTGGAACAGAGACTCCTCTGAGAACAAGATACGAGCCAAATCCCGTCTAAAAAGAGGAAATGACTCTGACACCAAGTAAGACGTGCAACACGATGGTTTCGTTACAGGACGGTCCAGACAGTTTTTAGACTGAATCTCCATAATGCTTCTCACCTTCAAAGCTGCAGTTTGAAAGTGTACAACCCGAATGCAATTCAAGTGCTATGTGATGATGATTATTCCAACTTAAGTTCCCACCATAAATCAACAAAATCAACCCATGAAAATAATTCCAACATTTGTTTTGGCCCCGGTCTATATTATTTTACAATTCCACTGTCATCTTAAAATAAAAATTCCAACTAGTTATGAATTATTATTTTTCATTGAAATAAACAAAATATACCTTCAAGTCTTATTTCCTAATATACACTGTAATAATTTTTACCACCTTTCCCAAGGCGAAAGTGTTGACCCGGGGATAATGATTTTCCCAGGACATTTCACTCCTTGAAGAGTATTAAGGATGTACTCTTCTGAGGTTTCAATCACGTTCAGGTCTCGTTTTGATCTGGTGTAATGGGTTTTTGTAATATTTTACAAACTATGATCAAGTTTATTAGCAAACACGTATCTGAAAAATATGTCAAAAAACTAGATGCCTTTTGTTTGTAGAACTTTTTTTACAAGAATTAAAAAAAATACCAATTTGGGGGCCATTTTGAAAATGTGTACTAATGTGTATTTCTTGCGCTTCAAAAAAGGCCAAAAGTTCACCTTTTTTGACTCTAGATTGATCACTTAAATTGTCATTGTGTCGCCATCTTTAATTGTAGCAGGTTCAATTTTGCTGAACAACTTTATAATGTTCAATATGATAAAAATGATATGCAACAAACTGGAAAATTATACATTACTGATATTTTATTTAAGGTTTTTAGTGTATCTGAAGCACTTTTGATTTTTGACCCAGGAAAAGGTAAAAAAATAACACAATTGACAATGGAACAAAAAAAGAAGCACACTGACCCGCCATTTTTGTAGATGTTTTAGAAAGAGAAACACATTTTCATTTAATCCATTAAGTATTAAAAAAGTTTAATACCAGAACTTTTTATATCAAGCGTTTAATCTGCAAAAAGAATGGTAAAAAATGAGTATTTTTTTTCATTAAAAAATAGAGGGTATGGGGTAACTAAAACCGGCTTTCTGAGTTAAAAGAAAAATATTAAGAAGTTTTACTTCCACAATTTAAAAGAAAATAATATTTTTATCAATTCTACAAACATTCATCCATATCTGATAACACACTTGGAAGATATTATATGAATTTGTTCTGCAAATGGTCAAAACCCAAAATATCCTTTTTCCAAAAATCCATATAAAAAAAGAAAAGTTTAATACAGGAAATTTAAGCCAATGAGACCATTTTGAGCCCCGTCCCTCAATCCCTAGGGGCGATTAAGTGTCTTAACTACTAATCAAGTCCACTGCAATCTCAGTGATAATTCCAACAAACGTTGAATTATTTCCCACAATTTTCAACAAATAACATCTATAAAAAAAAGCATTTTACCCTTCCTTCAGGGGCGAATGGATAACCCGTGGCAATGATATTCAAACTTTTGATAAAGTACCTCAGGACCTGTCTACCCTTAAAGGGTATTTAGATCTTTTTGTTTCAAAAGAAGATTAGACTCGTCTGGATTTCTATCTTTTTCTGGCCCCTAGCATCGTCGATGAGTCCAAAGAGGACGAAATCTCTGTTTGGTGTTCGGCATTTTTGGCATGCTGTATCTTTTATTGTAGACACAATTAGGTGCGAGTCCTATGTTCACCTTTAATATACAAGATGGTAGACTATGCTGGTGGAATTCTTGGTCCCCGAGGGTTGTTTTAACCTTAATGACAACGCATCTATCTCTTTTTAGGAGTGGCTCGTTTCATAACACCCATTAACAACTGCTCCTCTAACTTAACATAATCATAACAGGTTTTACGCACCTTTACTTTTGTTTGGATTTACACCTTTTTGGTCTATATTAAGCATTATCGATGAATCAAAGACGGACGAAACAGCTGTATGGTAATATGAACTTGAAAGGTGCATCATACATGTATGTGTGTGTCTTATGGGATATCTTGGTCTGAAGACGAAAAACTGTTGAAGTTTTAGTCAATTTGATCTTTTATAGAAATGTAGTAATATATATGTATATTCTACAGTAATATAAAATAATCACAAACATTCCTACGGAAAAATGCTAAGAACAAAAAGCCTCTTACTCAAACCACTGAATTATACAAATAACATTATACCCCCTACCTTGACCAGAGAAATATTCAAAGCACAGTTCTCCTCACATTGACACGAGAAATGTACAAATTCTAAACAAAAACTCTTACAACAGCTAGAGAAAAAATACAAATCACAAACAGTAAAATATACAAATTACTAAACATACAATACAACTGTTTACTGTACCTTGAGAAATATACAAATATACAGGCTAGATATCTGTTTTGTCATTGAAGATGATATGCTATCATGGAAAAGTGAAGGTATACAAAACAAACAGAAATATTAAAAAAAATGTGGAGCCGCTTGCATATTTTGAAACATGCAATAAAATCGAATTTAGGACAAATTTATAGCAACTCTCTTCCAAATAAATCAGAATTCGGGTCAGAATCGAGACCTGCTGAGGAGACAGGACATTAGGACTGTCTTGATCGACCACTTAGGGTGTCTTTAACTCTCTTTAGCTGACACGATGAAGACTTACCTATGTGTGTGTCTGTCGTACACGCGCAGGCGACAGTTACGACTATGAGTAGACAGATAGTCATCAGTTCTTGTCGCATCGTGTTGGATTGTCGAGGTAGTGATGTGTGGTGGGAGGCGATCAGACATGGTATTTATACCCTTGTTTCTCTCCCCTCACTATCTCAATCACAACCCCGGCAGCTGTAGCCCATTAAACAAATATCTTGTTTACGTATATCTGCCAGACGTAAGCTTAACCTGGTCGAACTCTATTACGTTAGTCAGACATAGGACAACGTTTTCTTGGTTACTTCAATAAAATGAACTATATGCACAAACACAAATGTTTAAAATTCACTTTTATCTTTTATCGAGAAAAGTTTTTAATTCATCTTCTTTGGTTTCTGTACCTACTAAGCCGGGCCCATCTGGCTTCAGGCCTCATACGTGATCTCTTTTAATCGGATAAGTCAGGCGGCCATAAATATTGTTTTTCTTTTTTCTGTTTATCGTGTTAACAAAAGGACAGCTCCAGATCACATTGTCATCGTAAATATGTCAGATTGTTGCTGGATTTTTAATCCCGAACCATATCGTAATATTTAAGTGTGTTGAAAAAGTTACTTTGGTAGGAATGAAATAAACCGCAATTCGACGAGGATTATGCAATACTGCGTTTCAGAGAAACGCTTTGAAAAGTTTAATTGAAAAGATTACTAGTGTTTGCCATATGTTGACAAGTGATTTGTCATCCCACGAGAACAAATGTCAAAACATTCACTTCCTTTTTGGAACGGGAAATTTCCCAGAGACGTTTTTTCTCAATAAAAGATACTTTGCGGAAAAAGTTTCAATAGAAGTTGAAATGAAATGTATTAGCTCCCTCACCCTATTTAATTTGCAAAATTACTTCTGGCCTCTTTACAGGATAAGGAATAATAGTATTCCCTCAGTGACAGTTCTGAATAAAGTAGTTAAAAAGGGCCTACAAATCAGCATTTTCCATCAGGTAAAAAACATGTATGGCCATATGCAAAGTATGTGGCACCATTGACATAGCTAAATGTAAGTTTGATAATAAGGTAAACATGTTTTTTATGGTAATACATATACAATGATATAGCTGATATCAACAAATTATAGAAGATATCAATACAATAAAACAGATATCAACATGGTATAGCATATATCAACACAAGATAGCAGATATCAACACAATATAGCAGATATAAACACAATATAGCACATAATATAGCAGATATTAACACAATATAGCAGATATCAACACGATATAGCAGATATTAACACAATGTAGCAGACATCAACATGATATAGCAGATAGCAACACGATATAGCAAATATCAACATAATATAGCAGATATCAACGCAATATAGCAGATATCAACACAAAACAGCAGATATCAACACAATATAGCAGCTATCAACACAATAAAGCAGATATCAACATGATATAGCAGATAGCAACACGATATAGCAGCTATCAACACATTACAGCAGATATCAACACAATATAGCAGATATCAACACGATATAGCAGATATCAACACGATATAGCAAATATCAACACGATATAGCAGATAGCAACACGATATAGCAGATATCAACAAGATATAGCAGATATCAACACATTACAGCAGATATCAACACAATATAGCAGATATCAACACGATATAGCAGATATCAACACGATATAGCAAATATCAACATGATATAGCAGATATCAACACAATATTGCAGATATCAACACATTATAGCAGATATCAACACGATATAGCAAATATCAACACGATATAGCAGATATCAACGCAATAAAGCAGAAATCAACACAATATAGCAAATGTCAACACAGTATAGCAGATATCAACATGATATAGCAATTATCAACACAATAAAGCAGATATCAACACAATATAGCAGATATCAACACGATATAGCAGATATCAACGCAATAAAGCAGATATCAACACAATATAGCAGATATCAACACGATATAGCAGATAGCAACACAATGTAGCAGACATCAACACATTATAGCAGATATCAACACAAAATAGCAGATATCAACACAATATCGCAGATATCAACATGATATAGCAATATCAAAACAATATAGCAGATATCAACAAGATATAGCAGATATCAACATAATATAGCAGATATCAACACAATATCGCAGATATCAACAAGATATAGCAGATATCAACATAATATAGCAGATATCAACACAATATCGCAGATACCAACAAGATATAGCAGATATCAACACAATATAGCAGACATCAATGTAATGTAGCAAGTATTAAAACAATGTAGCAAGGTTTAACACATTGTAGAACTTTCGTGTATCAAAACAATGTAGCAAGGTTCAACACATTGTAGAATTTTCATGTATCAAAACAATGTAGCAAGGTTCAACACATTGTCGAAATTTCAGGTATCAAAACAATAATGCCTATTTTAATCTGACAGATAGTTTAATTTTGACGTCACCATTGAACACCTTATGAGACGTTTAATTTCAAGATGGTGTCTTTGATACACGACGAAGGTTGTTTTTTAATTCACATTAATTATTCACGTTGTGATAGACATTATGTTAAAAGCATTAATGACAATGGTCCAAAACACTTCTGAACTCACTTCATCAATGTCATATATAACATAGTTATATATAGGTACGTGGTAAATGACTTAACTTGGTCTAAACCGAATATTTAACACAAAGGCTAACAAGCCTTTGAATCTCCAGACCGTAAATTAAACCATGAAAGCTATAAGTTCTAGTAAAGTGTGTGTACCTATCCATCTCCAGCCCATATACTAAACACGACAGATAACAGACCTTCATCACTAAACTGAAATTGTTTTCTTGAATTATCACTTCAGAATTATAGCAATGCGACACTAGCAAAAAGCAACATCAGAGACCTAACAATGCGACACTAGCAGGTAAGCAACATCAGAGACCTAACAATGCGACACTAGCAGAAAAGCAACATCAGATACCTTACAATCTGAAAAACAGTCAATTCAAAAAAAGGTTAATACAGACCTACCAATCTCCAATAAGCTGATCAAATATTTGTCCCTGTCACATCGGGCGTATCCAGTTAAATGACACTGCGGTCTTATACATCGAAAAACAATTTCAATACGTTGACATATCTAGTAAAGTAAAACAACACTTATTTAGCAGCGAGTCTAAATTTTAGGTTTTCAGCGCTTAGTTGTGACTGCATTCTTCTTTTCTATAGATATATTTAGCACTAGTTGTGATGTGTGTTACTTGAATACTGCCACTAATACTCTAGATTACAACTAAAGAATACCAAAATATAAAAAAACACCTGTAATTTTTACTAAAAATCGATAAAACTAAGATTTGCATTGAGACTTTTGAAAATGGACAAGAAGAATAAGACCAGTTGTTCCTAAAAAGTAAGCGTTTTCTGCTTCATCGACGACGCCAACCACGTTAATCGAGAATAAATTCAATTATTGTCATGTCCTCATAGCAAGGAACGAGGTAACGAAAAACACAAAAATGGCCTATTTCCTTATGATAATAGCTACCATCAAATTCTCCTTCGTGTTCATTAATCTGCATCTTTGGAAACCCAATGTTGTAAGTATGTCCGTCAGTAGTCGACATGGATTACGAAAATTTCCTATTCGTAGTAAGCTTTTGAATACCAAAACATATGCGACATGTTGACAACATAACTTGGGAAGTGGGATTGTTACAGTAAAGAAAGGGAAATTTTCAGGATCGGAATAACTACCGTTGTGATAAAACCATGTGTGCAATACGTAATAATTTCCATAGATATCAGGAAAGACGTCCAGCACTGCTCTGTGTATTCTCGTTTCTTTTTTCCGAGATTCGTTATGCGTTTTAGATTGTTAGGATTTCGATTAATACATACTTTTATACAAATTTCATTTTGTATTTTATCTTCTTATCTACGCTGTGTCGTTCAAACTATCGCAGACAATAGCATCATGGCGAATTAAAAAACACTATCAAATGTGGTCCAAAAGTGAACCTGCTAAACGATTATGTTATAGCTTTCGCCATAATCGAAATGACAACATGTTTGATGACAAACTTTTCGTGTGATAGCTCTGCACACTGGTTGGGAAATATTAAGACGCATTTTCGACAGAGTGGTGGATAAGGATACCGAGATGGAAATCTCGGTATAGGTAAAAAGGTAGGTGTTAAAATGTCCTATGTGAAAATTTATCACTCTCCATATCCCAGCCGTAACTAAAACCACTTTTTAAAGTTTTCTCCCGTCAAATAGGTCAATAACATACGATGCATGTCCCTTCTTGGAGGGATACGTTGACGGGTCAAGCTTTTCTTCAAATCCCTTTTGTAACTGCCTTCCATATGATCAAGTCCATGGGAGATTAATAAATTATTTCAAGAATATATAGAGAATATGTTTATAGGAAAGTTTTTAAGATAACTCATTCGGTTTTTAACGTTATTTTAAGTTCCATGTATATAAAATCAAACTATTTAATTGTAAAAGAGAATCATGATCACATGTGTATGTGTTTTGCTCATTAACGTGTAGCATGCCTGAAACACAATCGCCTGTGTATCAGCATCACTGATACCGTAGGACACTGATAATAATAATAATAATAATATGATAATATTAATAATAATAATAATAATATACAATATTTATATAGCGCCCTGTATAACTTGTAAAATCACTCTAAGGTGCTTTATGGATAATAGTGTTAGTTATAATTGTGAAGAAGAAAAGGGGTTACAATCACTTTTATATATTAAGCAAGCAGATAATCATCGCAATGTGCACATAAATGAATTAAATAAAGGGTGGTATTTACATGGCTTCTTTGCACTCTGACACTGATATAATATATGACACTGTATGACCTTGATACTGTATAACACGCTGTGTAACACACTGATAGTGGTTACAGGAAAACAGAAAGCTCTGTTAGGTTACCAAAAACAAACAAACTGGCGCGTTAACGTACAGGGAGAAAATATACAACAGCGTCAATGAACACGAACAATATACAGCAGAGCCAACACAAAAGGGACAAAATATACAACAGCGTCAACATACCCAGACAAATATACAGCAAACACAACAAAAAAGGGACAAAATATACAACATCGTCAACAAACACGGACAAATATACAGCAGAGCCAACAAAAAAGGACAAAACATACAACAGCGTCAACGGACACGGATAAATATACAGCAGAGCCAACAAAAAAGGACAAAATATACAACAGCGTCAACAAACAGGGACAAATATACAGCAGAGCAAACAAAAAAGGACAACATATACAACAGCGTCAAAGAACACGGACAAATATACAGCAGAGCCAACAAAAAAGGACAAAACATACAACAGCGTCAACGGACACGGATAAATATACAGCAGAGCCAACAAAAAAGGACAAAATATACAACAGCGTCAACAAACAGGGACAAATATACAGCAGAGCAAACAAAAAAGGACAAAATATACAACAGCGTCAACGAACACAGACAAATATACAGCAAGGAGGCAAAGCATAAAGACATAATATACCACAGCATTAACACATGGACATATACCCCAAGGAGGCTTAGAATAAAGACATATTACACTACAGCATTAACACATGACATATACCCCAAGGAGACAAAGCATAAAGACACAATATACTACAGCATTAACACATGGATATATACCCCAAGGAGACAAAGCATAAAGACACAATATACTACAGCATTAACACATGTCATATACCCCAAGGAGGCAAAGCATAAAGACACAATACACTACAGCACTAACACATGGATATATACCCCAAGGAGACAAAGCATAAAGACACAATACACTACAGCATTAACACATGGATATATACCCCAAGGAGGCAAAGCATAAAGACACAATATACTACAGCATTAACACCTGAACACATACCCCCAAGGTGGCAAAGCATAAAGACACAATACCCTACAGCATTAACACATGGACATATACCCCAATGAGGCAAACCGTAAAGACACAATATACTACAGCATTAACACCTAAACACATAACCCCATGGAGGCAGAGCATAAAGACACAATATACCACGGACATATGCCCCAAGGAGGCAAAACATAAAGAGACAATACCCTACAGTATTAACACATGGACATATACCCCAAGGAGGCAAAGCATAAAGACACAATACCCTACAGCATTAACACATGGACATATCCCCTAAGGAGGCAAAGCATAAAGACACAATACACTACAGCATTAACACATGGACATGTACCCCAAGGAGGCTTAGAATAAACACACAGTACCCTACAGCATTAACACATGGACATATACCCCAAGGAGGCTTAGAATAAAGACACAATACCTTACAGCATTAATACATGGACATATACCCCATGGAGGCAAAGCATAAACACACAATATACTACAGCATTAACACATGACGTATACCCCATGGAGGCAAAGCAAAAAGACACAATACCCTACAGCATTAACACATGGACATATACCCCAAGGAGGCAAAGCATAAAGACAAAAATACAACAGCGTCAACAAACAGGGTCAAATATACAGCAGAGCAAACAAAAAAGGACAACATATACAACAGCGTCAAAGAACACGGACAAATATACAGCAGAGCCATCAAAAAAGGACAAAATATACAACAGCGTCAACGAACACAGACAAATATACAGCAAGGAGGCAAAGCATATAGACACAATATACCACAGCATTAACACATGGACATATACCCAAAGGAGGCAAAGCATAAACACACAATACACTACAGCATTAACACATGACATATACCCCAAGGAGGCAAAGCATAAAGACACAATACCCTACAGCATTAACACATGGACATATACCCAAAGGAGGCAAAGCATAAACCCACAATACACTACAGCATTAACACATGACATATACCCCACGGAGGCAAAGCATAAAGACACAATCCCCTACAGCATTAACACATGACATATACCCCACGGAGGCAAAGCATAAAGACACAATCCCCTACAGCATTAACACATGACATATACCCCACGGAGGCAAAGCATAAAGACACAATACCCTACAGCATTAACACATGACATATACCCCACGGAGGCAAAGCATAAAGACACAATACCCTACAGCATTAACACATGACATATACCCCACGGAGGCAAAGCATAAAGACACAATCCCCTACAGCATTAACACATGACATATACCCCACGGAGGCAAAGCATAAAGACACAATACCCTACAGCATTAACACATGGATATATACCCCAAGGAGGCAAATCATAAAGACACAATACCCTACAGCATTAACACATGGACATATATCCCAAGGAGGCAAAGCATAAAGACACAATACACTACAGCATTAACACATGACATATACCCCAAAGAGGAAAAGCATAAGACACAATACACCACAGCATTAACACATGACATATACCCCAAGGAGGCAAAGCATAAAGACACAATGCCCTACAGCATTAACACATGGATATATACCCCAAGGAGGCAAAGCATAAAGACACAATACCCTACAGCATTAATACATGGACATATACTCCAAGGAGGCAAAGCACAAAGACACAATACCCTACAGCATTAACACATGGATATATACCCAAAGGAGGCAAAGCATAAAGACATAATACACTACAGCATTAACACATGACATATACCCCACGGAGGCAAAGCATAAAGACACAATACCCTACAGCATTAACACATGACATATACCCCACGGAGGCAAAGCATAAAGACACAATACCCTACAGCATTAATACATGGACATATACTCCAAGGAGGCAAAGCACAAAGACACAATACCCTACAGCATTAACACATGGATATATACCCAAAGGAGGCAAAGCATAAAAACATAATACACTACAGCATTAACACATGACATATACCCCACGGAGGCAAAGCATAAAGACACAATACACTACAGCATAAACACATGACACATACCCCAAGGAGGCAAAGCATAAAGACACAATATACTACAGCATTAACACCTGAATACATACCCCAAGGAGGCAAAGCATAAACACACAATATACCACAGCATTAACACATGACATATACCCCAAGGAGGCAAAAATAAAGACACAATATACCACAGCATTAACACATGGACATATACCCCAAGGAGGCAAAACATAAAGACACAATATACCACAGCATTAACACATGACATATACTCAAAGGAGGCAAAAAATAAAGACACAATATACTACAGCATTAACACATGACATGTACCCCAAGAAGGCAAAGCATAAAGACACAATATACCACAGCATTAACACCTGAACACATACCCCAAGGAGGCAAAGCATAAAAACACAATACACTACAGCATTAACACATGACATATACCCCAAGAAGGCAAAGCATAAAGACACAATACACTACAGCATTAACACATGACATATACCCCAAGGAGGCAAAGCATAGAAACACAATACACTACAGCATTAACACATGACATTTACACCAAGGAGGCAAAGCATATACACACAATACACTACAGCATTAACACATGGACATATACCCCAAGGAGGCAAAGCATAAAGACACAATACACTTCAGCATTAACACATGGACAATTTCCCCCAAGGAGGCAAAACATAAAGACACAATATACCACGGACATATACCCCAAGGGGGCAAAGCATAAAGACACAATATACTACAGCATTAAAACATAGGTATATACCCCAGGTAGGCAAAGCATAAAGACACAATACACCACAGCATACCTTCTTGTGTAGAATAGTTTTGTATTTAGTACGGGTTCGATAATACCAGATGATATATTTCAGCTAAAAAAAACAGATAAACAGACGATAACATGCGTCAAGTTAACCATGCTTTATACAACCCTGATTACAGCGGATATGTTATCTGAAACTACGTGTTGACACCCGACATAACTACATAACAGTGAGAATGGATATGTATAGTATTGTCAAGTTTATCATTGCTCTTTTCGCCCAGGTTAGGCTGTATTTAGGAGGGGAACCACAACCCCGTACAAATGTGTCGGTGTTGCCTTTCGCTGTCGTGTGGAATGTGCCTTCTGCTGTCTGCCAGGACGAGTTCAAAGTGTTCCTGAATTTGTCCAAATATGGCATCATACAAAACGACAACCAGTCGTTCTTTGGTGAGAACATTGTTCTGTTTTACGAACCATTTCCGGGACTTTATCCCAAATACTTAAGTAACGGATCAGCCATTAATGGAGGTCTACCTCAGGTAAGTTAGGATGCTATAGGTAACGTGAACAGCAAGGTATCTCACTTCCAAACTGATATTTACCTTAAATAGGACGCTAATGCAATACAACTTTCACATTCTGACATTTTCATTAAGTATGCTTATGATAACCGCACTTCGAAAATCTGGCAAGTACACCTACAGTATAATGGTCACCTCACTTCCAAACTCCATGACATTTACCTAGAGTAAGACAACAATGGTCAACTCCATACCCAACTCTATAACTATTACCTACTGTATACCAATAGACATCATCTCACTACCGAAATCTGTGACATTTACCTGCAGTACGACAATAATAATGACCTCACTGCCAAACTCTGACATGTACCTACTGTATGACAATAATGACTGTCAGACTATCAAACTCTATGAAACATACCTAAAGTACGACAGTAATCGTCACCTCATTTCCAAAATCTGGCATCTTAAAGAGAAAATATAATGAGGATGAGATCACCAGAACGATTGGTTTCCTAGTTGACAATATATCTCCCTGGCCAATTTGATGTTTTTCCTATGATGATAAATTTATTGAAGTGACCTTCAGCACAGAAAATAAAGTCGAAGCCAAATCCTAAAATTTCACTTTCATGTAATGTTTTGACTAAGTTGATGGTATGTATCCTCCGGAACTTGAATTCCAGGACACTAAACACTTCTACATCAGTAGCTCGATCTTACATGACCGACAACGACGGCTTACTGCTTCAGCTCAGTTTCCGAGAGTAATCCGACTCATAGGTTAAATTTCAAACAATTACATCATGTAGTACTGCAAACACATACCATAAGCGTGACGTTTTTGATTTTCCGATCGTGAACTTTCCCTTCTTCATAGTAATATCCCTGCTTCCTCAACTGAATGCTTTAACAAATCGAAGTTGATTCGATATTCCTGGGATTAATCTTGTTATCGTGATTTTTGCGGTAGATGCTGCAGTTCATAGAAAAACACACAACAAAGGGTTTCGCTATATGCAGTTTAATGAAAACAATTGGCAAGTTTGAAGGTTGCCTTCGAGTTCTCAATTAGAAATACAATTTATTATTTTCCTGGTACAATATGGAAATAGACGTTATTTACAAATGTTGATTTTTATGCCTCGTAGTTTCCTAGTCACTAAACTGGTTCTCTCTTTGAATTTGATATTACCTGAGTTAGACCTAGATTTACAGACGCTTTGCTAACCCTTCCGGATCACATCTTATTATCCTTGTACTTTTTCAGTGGTCATCATGATAGTCTTGCCTTCGCTCATATTTTGTCCTAGTTAAATTGATCTCAAGATCGAATTAGAATGATATAACAACTCGATCAACTCCAGTTGTTGTTCTGTTTGTTTTGCCTGAAGTATGATCATTGTAGTCAACTAAATACCTCTACACCTACACTTTGACGATGGTATCTCAATACCTAACTCTATGACACCTACACTTTGACAATGGCATAACACTATCAGACTGACATAAACCTATAGTATGACACAAACGGTCATCTTACTACCAAACTTTATTACAATATCATGGTCACCAAACACCGACAGTAAAATGTCCTAAAGTCATCATAGACTGAAGCGTCTCAAGTAGAAACTCCTGGCTAAGTAGTTCATTAAAATATATATTGCATCTGGACTTGTAAGCTCCATATGTACAAAGTTCGTCAGTGAAGCGATGTCCAGTCATTCTACTGGTGAATGTCATTTAAATTGTCAGTGAGATGACAGGTAGTCAGTCCGTTTGTCTTATGAGTTTGTATGTCTTATGAGTTAGTTAGTGAGATGACAGGTAGTCAGTCCGTATGTCTTATGAGTTCGTCAGTGAGATGATAGGTAGTCAGTCTGTATGTCGTATGAGTTAGTCAGTAAGATGACAGGTAGTGAGTCTGTATGTCTTATGAGCTTGTATGTCTTATGAGTTAGTGAGTGAGGTGACAGGTAGTCAGTCAGTATGTCTTATGAGTTAGTTAGTGAGATGACAGGTTGTCAGTCTGTATGTCTTATGAGTTTGTTAGTGAGGTGACAGGTAGTCAGTCAGTATGTCTTATGAGTTAGTTAGTGAGATGACAGGTAGTCGGTCTGTATGTCTTATGAGTTCGTCAGTGAGATGACAGGTAGTCGGTCTGTATGTCTTATGAGTTCGTCAGTGAGATGACAGGAAGTCAGTCCGTATGTCTTATGAGTTGGTCAGCAAGATGACAGGTAGTCAGTCTGTATGTTTTATGAGTTCGTTAGTGAGGTGACAGGTAGTCAGTCTGTATGTCTTATGAGTTAGTCAGTAAGATGACAGGTAGTCAGTCTGTATGTCTTATGAGTTTGTATGTCTTATGAGTTAGTCAGTAAGATGACAGGTAGTCAGTCTGTATGTCTTATGAGTTTTTATGTCTTATGAGTTAGTTAGTGAGATGACAGGTAGTCAGTCTGTATGTCTTATGAGTTTGTATTTCTTATGAGTTAGTTAGTGAGATGACAGGTAGTCGGTCTGTATGTCTTATGAGTTAGTCAGTAAGATGACAGTTAGTCAGTCTGTATGTCTTATGAGTTCGTTAGTGAGATGACAGGTCGTCAGTCTGTATGTCTTATGAGTTTGTTAGTGAGGTGACAGGTAGTCAGTCAGTATGTCTTATGAGTTAGTTAGTGAGGTGACAGGTAGGCAGTCTGGATGTCTTATGAGTTTGTATGTCTTATGAGTTAGTTAGGGAGATGACAGGTAGTCAGTCCGTATGTCTTATGAGTTCGTTAGTGAGGTGACAGGTAGTCAGTCTGTATGTCTTATGAGTGCGTCAGTGAGGGGACAGGTAGTCAGTCTGTATGTCTTATGAGTTCGTTAGTGAGATGACAGGTAGTCAGTCTGTATGTCTTATGAGTTAGTCAGTAAGATGACAGTTAGTCAGTCTGTATGTCTTATGAGTTCGTTAGTGAGATGACAGGTAGTCAGTCTGTATGTCTTATGAGTTCGTCAGTGAGGTGAATGGTGGCGATTCTTGTATTATCAGGCAAGTTATCAAAACTGTTATATTGGGTTTTTTTTCTCTCACTGGTTTATTGTCGAACAGAAGTCCAATCTTGAAAAGCATCTTCGGAAAGTGGAGTATGATGTGGACAGAACTATCCCTGCCGCCGAGTTCTCCGGCCTGGCTGTGGTAGACTGGGAAAGTTGGAGACCAATCTTTGACAGGAACCTGTACGACAAAGATCAAGTGGTGTATATCAACAAGTCGGAGGAGCTCGTCAAACAACACCATCCCACATGGAACGATCCTCAGATCAAAAGACAGGCCCGGTTAGAATTTGAAACATCTGCAAGGTAATACATAGTTAAGACACCCCCACCACCCTAGACATTTTGTTTAATGAGATGAGGTCTTTTAAAGGTTTACACATATCTGACCAAATATGACCTTGAAAGTGGGTGAAGGTCATTCAAATGACTGGATGGCCCATCATCCAAATATCAATATTTTGGGCCTCATGGTTATTCGGAAGAAGTTGCTTTAAACAAATTTGACCCCTGTTATCTTGAATATAAGTGAAGGTCATACATTTGAACAAACTTGGTAGCCCTTCATCCAAGAATGCTACTGGCCTGATATCATCATCCTGGGCCTTTTGGTTATTCAGAAGAAGTCATTTAAAGATTTTAAACATATTTGACCCCTGTGACCATGAATGTAAGTGAAGGTCATTCATTTTATCAAACTGAAGTCCTTCATCCAAGAATGCTAATGGCCAAAATTCAGAGGATGTTGTTTAAAGATTTTAAACATATTTGACCCCTGTGACTTTGAATACAAGAGGCCCACAGGGCCTGTATCGCTCACCTGGATACCTAAGAAATCATGTCAAAATATTCTCCAAATGAGATCCAAGGGAATATGCCAGACACCAAGGCCAATCCTTGTAGCATATCTGTATTAGATTTTTCATGCCCAGCAATTTTATGTATGGTTATGGGGTGGGGATCTCAACTGTTTCCAAGCTGAGACTCAGAAACTAGATCCCTAGGGTCGTGACCAGACCCCAGGATCAATTCTAATATCATGACTGCATTTGTCTCTTTTTTGCACAGCATTTTTACATATAGTTTTGGGGTGGGGATTTCAACCGTTTCAAAATTATGGCCCAGGGACTATGTCTCCAAGGGTGGGGCCAGACCCTAGTGCCATCCTAGAAGTAATTTATACTCAGCAATTGTATATATGGTTATATGGTGGGGATCTCAACTATTTCAAAGTAATAAACTTTTTTTGGCCCCACCCCTTAGCCCGGGGGTCAGCCCACCCATTTGTACAATTGTGAATCCCTGCCTCCCATGAATGCTTCTGACCAAATATGATCGATATCCAAGGTAAAGTTCTACAGAAGAAATTGTTTATAGCAATATAGCCAAATAACCCTTTTTGGCACCGCCCCTCAGCTCCCTGGGGGGGGGGGGGGGGGGGGGGTCAGCCACACCATTTGTACAATTTTGAATCCCTGCGCCCCTTGAATGCTTTTGATTAAATATGATTGATATCCAGTGCATACTTCTACAGAAGAAGTCGTTTGTAGCAATATAGCTAAATTGCCTGCTTTTGGCCCTGCCCCTCCCCCTGGGGAGTCAGCCCAACCATTTGTACAATTTTAAATCTCCACTACCTAGGGATGCTTCCAGTTAAATATGGTTGATATCCATCTCTTATTTCCAGAGAAGAAGTCGCTTAAAGAAATATAGCCAATTTTGAATCCCCACCACTTAGGGATGCTTCCAGTCAAATTTAGTTAAATTCCAATCAGTGGTTCAGAAGAAGAAGTCGTTTAAAGAAATTGTTGACGGATGGACGACAGACGCCACAGTATGGCATAAGCTCACCTGGGTCCTTCAGACCCGATGAGCTAATAATTAAATGTCATTTATTTGAACAAACTTAGTAGCCCTTCATCCAAGCATGTTACGAGCCAAATAACATCACCCTGGACCTTTTGGTTATTCAAAAGAAGTCATTTAAAGATTTTAAACACATTTGACCCCTGTGACCTTGAATGTAAGTGAAGGTCATTCATTTTAACAAACTTGGAAGTCCTTCATCAAAGAATGCTAATGGCCAAATATCATCACCCTGGGCATTTTGGTTATTCAAAAGAAGTTGTTTAAAGATTTTAACATACTTGAAACCTGTGACCTTGAATACAAGTCAAGGTCATTTATTTGAACAAACTTGTTAGCCCTTCATACCAGCATGGTTCTGGCCAAATATCATCACCATGGGCATTTTGTTTATTCAGAAGAAGTTGTTTAAAGATTTTAATGTATTTGACCCCTGTGATGTTAAATATGTGTGAAAGGTTATTTCTTTTAATAACCTTTGAAGCCCTGCATCCCAACATAGTACTGACCAAATATCACCATCCTGGTACTTTTGGTTATTCAATAGAAGCTGTTTAAAGGTTTTAAAAGACAATTGACCCCTGTGACCTTGAATATAAGTGAAGGTTACTTATTTGAACAAACTTGGCAGCCCTTCATCCCAGCATGCTACTGGCCAAATATCATCACCCTGGGCAATTTGGTTATTAAGAAGTTGTTTAAAATGTTAGACATATTTGACCCCTGTGACCTTAAATATGGGTGAAGGTCATTTATTTGAACAAACTTGGTAGCCCTTTATCCTAGTTTGCTTCTGACCAAATATCATCCTAGGCCTTTTGGTTATTAGGAAGATTTTTAAAGTGAAATATTGACACCAGACGCCGGGGCATAAGCTCACTTGGCGAAGGGCCAAGTGAGCTAAAAACAATAAAATATCATTACTTTGATCATTATGGATTTTTTTCAAGGATTCTATTGCTATAATGAAATTTCTTTAAAAAAAACAAAAAAACATGATGTGACCTTCAAAGTTGGTCAAGGTCATTCATTATGGTTCCACATTTCATTTCAATTCACACCTTTAGACAATAGGACAAATATCATGACCACAGACCTCTTGATTATAACACATTTGACATCAATGACCTTAGAAGCCCTCCACTACAGCATGCTAGACTACATATAATCTTGGTTATTCAGAAGAACTCAAGTGCAAGTTTGAATTGTTTGACCCCTGTGACCTTGAATTTGGGTCAAGGTCATTAATTTGAATAAATCTGATAACCCTTTATCTCAGCATGCTACTAGCAAAATGTTAACACCCTAAGCATCTTGTTCATCTTGACAGATCAGGGAAAGTTGGACAGACGGACAATGCACTTTGGTATAAACTGACTTGGCCGTTTGGGTCAGGTTAGCTAATACAAATAACTCAAACTCTCCATGATAAATGCGCTAACAATTTTATGCATAGAAATTTTATTAATATATAACAAACAGCATAACAATTGGTCAGATTTAAGGGCTGTACAATTGTCATAGAAATGTTCAGCACTGAATAAAACTATCAGATCTTATGAAATAAATATCATATCATAAATACATAGTTCTTATTAACACTAATAATACTTTCCACTTATTTGCACACAGACTTTGCGTTGTTATGAAATCTATTCAGCTCTAACCTCTTACTGAATCAATCAAACATAAAGCTTCACAGCTAGATGGACAAAGATTTACTACACAGCTAGATGGACAAAGATTTACTTCACAGCTAGATGGACAAAGATTTACTTCACAGCTAGATGGACAAAGATTTACTTCACAGCTAGATCGACAAAGATTTACTACACAGCTAGATGGACAAAGATTTACTTCACAGCTAGATGGACAAAGATTTACTTCACAGCTAGATGGGACAAAGATTTACTACACAGCTAGATGGACAAAAATTTACTACACAGCTAGATGGACAAAGATTTACTTCACGGCTAGATGGACAAAGATTTACTACACAGCTAGATTGACAAAGATTTACTACACAGCTAGATGGACAAAGATTAACGGCACAGCTAGATGGACAAAGATTTACTTTACAGCTAGATGGACAAAGATTTACTACACAGCTAGCTGGACAAAGATTAACTACACAGCTAGATGGACAAAGATTTATTACACAGCTAGATGGACAAAGATTTACTACACAGCTAGCTGGACAAAGATTAACTACACAGCTAGATGGACAAAGATTTATTACACAGCTAGATGGACAAAGATTTACTACACAGCTAGATTGACAAAGATTTACTACACAGCTAGATGGACAAAGATTTACTTCACAGCTAGATGGACAAAGATTTACTACACAGCTAGCTGGACAAAGATTAACTACACAGCTAGATGGACAAAGATTTACTTTACAGCTAGATGGACAAAGATTTACTACACAGCTAGCTGGACAAAGATTAACTACACAGCTAGATGGACAAAGATTTACTTTACAGCTAGATGGACAAAGATTTACTACACAGCTAGATTGACAAAGATTTACTACACAGCTAGATGGACAAAAATTTACTACACAGCTAGATGGACAAAGATTTACTTCACAGCTAGATGGACAAAGATTTACTTCACAGCTAGATGGACAAAGATTTACTTCACAGCTAGATGGACAAAGATTTACTTCACAGCTAGATGGACAAAGATTTACTTCACAGCTAGATCGACAAAGATTTACTACACAGCTAGATGGACAAAGATTTGCTACACAGCTAGATGGACAAAGATTAACTACACAGCTAGATGGACAAAGATTTACTTTACAGCTAGATGGACAAAGATTTACTACACAGCTAGATGGACAAAGATTTACTATCAGACACTTTCCAATATTTTACTTTTCAATAAAGGTCATCTGCTTTGAAGGGGAATTGATTTGAAATTGACAAAATTTGATCATGGTAAATCGTTTCAAGAAAAGAAATCTCTGTGTATCATCTAATAGAACGCAATATCCTGGTTAAACAGAAGGAATAAAATGTTATTCTTCAGTAAATTTCTGATTAACTAAATATCTAAAAGGACATAAGGTAGATCATCAACCGTACATCATAGCTTCTATTTTACCGTACATTATAGCTTCTGTTTTACCGTACATTATAGCTTCTGTTTTACCGTACATTATAGCTTCTGTTTTACCGTATATTATAGCTTCTGTTTTACCGTACATTACAGCTTCTATTTTACCGTACATTATAGCTTCTGTTTTACCGTATATTATAGCTTCTGTTTTACCGTACATTACCGCTTCTGTTTTACCGTACATTATAGCTTCTATTTTACCGTACATTATAGCTTCTGTTTTACCGTATATTATAGCTTCTGTTTTACCGTACATTACCGCTTCTGTTTTACCGTACATTATAGCTTCTGTTTTACCGTACATTACAGCTTCGATTTTACCGTACATTATAGCTTCTGTTTTACCTTATATTATAGCTTCTGTTTTACCGTACATTACAGCTTCTACTTTACCGTACATTATAGCTTCTGTTTTACCGTACATTACAGCTTCTACTTTACCGTACATTATAGCTTCTGTTTTACCGTACATTACAGCTTCTATTTTACTGTACATTATAGCTTCTGTTTTACCGTATATTACAGCTTCTATTTTACCGTACATTATAGCTTCTTTTTTACCGTATATTATAGCTTCTGTTTTACCGTACATTACAGCTTCTGTTTTACCGTACATTACAGCTTCTGTTTTACCGTACAGTATAGCTTCTGTTTTACCGTACAGTATAGCTTCTGTTTTACCGTATATTATAGCTTCTGTTTTGTCTAAAATACTACCTGCTTGTCCAGAGTATAACAAAATTACATATAATAAGCTAATTTCACTGTTATTTTTAATTCATCAATTTATATTTTGGACTTTCTTTAATTAACAGAAATGTAGTAAAACTAAGTCCTGGATGAAAAAAAGCCATAAAACTATTTAATCGTGCTCATTAATGGTTGTAATCTTTCAAAGAATTTGAGAGAGCATTGCATTCACCTTTACATCTTGTGAGACAGTTCTTGAAAGTTTGAAGGAAAAACAACTCTTTTCAGACTGAACAGGAAAAGATAACTCCACTCTAATCTAATTAGGCTTGCATTTCTTGTATCTTAAGTGATGTTTCTTGTATTGTCAGGCTCTGTGTTGCTGATATAATTTCTGTACAACTGAAAAGGAAGAAAACAATGTGTACCAGTCTGTATGTTATTAAAGTTCATGCAAAACTATTGATGCTATAATATTACTTTCCTTATCATTAATGATATTAATTTTTTATACATTGTACTCATTTTAGTCATATTCTAATTCTGAGCTTTCACATCATTCAATCAGAAAGCACAATTTCAGCACAGCACTAGAATTTTACAGACAGGAAAGCTTTGTAAAACTTCACAACATGTCTTACCTTCGATATACTTAAAACTTTAACCTACTTATTTTACTTGTCAATTTTGGAGCTTTATGCATCATTTGAAATTCTGAGTACAAATTTTAGCACAGTGCAGTACAAGAATTAGACGCACAGGAAAAGCTATAAAAATGTTCTCTTCAGGTAATTTCACCTTTATCAAATCAGTGTGATATAAATAAACACATAAAGTATACTGGCACAGAAACACAGCCTGAACAAAAACGACAGAAACACAACCTGAACAGAAAAGACAGAAACACAGCCTGAACAGAAACGACAGAAACACAACCTGAACAGAAACGACAGAAACACAACCTGAACAGAAACACAACCTGAACAGACACGACAGAAACACAACCTGAACGGAAACGACAGAAACACAACCTGAACAGAAACGACAGAAACACAACCTGAACGGAAACGACAGAAACACAACCTGAACGGAAACGACAGAAACACAACCTGAACAGAAACGACAGAAACACAACCTGAACAGAAACACAACCTGAACAGAAACACAACCTGAACAGACACGACAGAAACACAGCCTGAACAGATACACAACCGGAACGGAAACGACAGAAACACAACCTGAACAGAAACGACAGAAACACAACCTGAACAGAAACACAACCCTTACAATGCAGTTAAACCTAGAATTAAGTTTTGATTATTTTGATAATTGTAAAATTTGGTAAAGTCCAATGTGACACCTACATGTACATACATAAAATAAATTACAAATAGCAGTAACTGGTACACCATGATAGTTGTAGGGTCCCATTATATAATTAGCTGGATTTAGTACCCAGAATTTTCACCATGACGGTCAGAGCTTTGGACATTGATGTCAGTGACAAGTTTTTGTGGTCAGTGACCTTGTACTTACTGTTGAAGTTCATGTGGTCAGTGACCCTGTACTTACTGTTTAAGTTCATGTGGTCAGTGACCCTGTACTTACTGTTGAAGTTCATGTGGTCAGTGACCCTGTACTTACTGTTTAAGTTTGTGTGGTTAGTGACCTTGTACTTACTGTTTAAGTTTGTGTGGTCAGTGCCTTGTACTTACTGTTAAAGTTCATGTGGTCAGTGACCCTGTACTTACTGTTGAAGTTCATGTGGTCAGTGACCCTGTACTTACTGTTGAAGTTCATGTGGTCAGTGACCCTGTACTTACTGTTGAAGTTCATGTGGTCAGTGACCATGTACTTACTGTTTAAGTTCATGTGGTCAGTGACCCTGTACTTAGTTTTTAAGTTTGTGTGGTCAGTGACCTTGTACTTACTGTTAAAGTTCATGTAGTCAGTGACCCTGTACTTACTATTTAAGTTTGTGTGGTCAGTGACCCTGTACTTACTGTTTACGTTTGTGTGGTCAGTGACCTTGTACTTACTGTTTAAGTTTGTGCGGTCAGTGACCTTGTACTTACTCTTTAAGTTTGTGTGGGCAGTGACCCTGTACTGAGTGTTTAAGGTTGTGTGGTCAGTGATCTTGTACTTACTGTTTAATTTTGTGTGGTCAGTGATCTTGTACTTACTGTTAAAGTTCATGGGGGCAGGGACCCTGGACTTACTGTTTAAGTTCGTGTGGTCAGTGACCGTGTACTTACTGTTTAAGATTGTGTGGTCAGTGACTTGTACTTACTGTTAAATTTCATGTGGTCAGTGCCCCTGTACTTACTGTATAAGTTTGTTTGGTCAGTGACCCTGGACTTACTGTTTAAGTTTGTTTGGTCAGTGACCCTGGACTTACTGTTTAAGTTCGTGTGGTCAGTGACCGTGTACTTACTGTTTAATTTTGTGTGGTCAGTGCCCCTGTACTTACTATTGAAGTTTGTGTGGTCAGTAACCTTGTACTTACTGTTTAAGTTGGTGTGGTCAGAGACCCTGTACTTACTGTTGAAGTTCATGTGGTCAGTGACCCTATACTTACTGTTTAAGTTGGTGTGGTCAGTGACCGTGTACTTACTGTTTAAGCTTGTGTGGTCAGTGACTTGTACTTACTGTTAAATTTCATGTGGTCAGTGACCCTATACTTACTGTTTAAGATTGTGTGGTCAGTGACCGTGTACTTACTGTTTAATTTTGTGTGGTCAGTGTCCCTGTACTTACTGTTTAGGTTTGTGTGGTCAGTGATCTTGTACTTACTGTTAAATTTCATGTGGTCAGTGCCCCTGTACTTACTGTTTAAGTTTGTGCGGTCAGTGACCTTGTACTTCCTGTTTAAGTTTTTGTGGTCAGTGACCTTGTACTTACTGTTTAAGTTCGTGTGTTTGAGCGTCTACACCTTTCTCCATGGCAGCCAAAGCCTTGGACATAGATGTCACCGTGGTGACCGGCTGTCTAATCATCACTGATAACTCCCCTAGAAGTTGTTCACTTGTCGACAATTCTTTTTCTAATTTTCCTACAACAGAATGAAAAAGAGAAATGCACTCAGCCTGCTTTACCTTTTTTCAATGCCTTTACGATTCCTCTGCAATCAAATTCAGGATTTCAATTTTGTGAATTTTTTGTTGAATGTAATCATAAATGTTATGTTATTTAGCTAAAGGGTTGAATGTTGAATCTGTAATATTGAACACATGAACCTTGTGTCTATGTTTGTATCTACCCTACTTTTAAACATAATTATTAGAGACAAATATGTGCATTTTGTTGCGTAACATTATATCCTGTTGTTTTATCCAAACAAACTATAATTCTTAAATTGTCGGCCTTTTATGGTGAGCTTCAATTATGATGCCTCTGAAGTAATATATGTGATACGTGAGTGCTGTAATGGTATTAAATATAAAAAAACGTTTTGAAATTTGGATCAACTGGAAGCTAAAAACGCTCTACACTGTGTAAACACGGAATTGGAAAATGCTCCATATATTGGATTAATAAAACCACTTAGGTGTGCCGAAGATCTTGACAGCTCTTTAGCCCAGTGACCTACTTTGGAGTTCGTCCTCATCATCGGGGAGATAAACCCCCTGGGTGGGGATCTGGTGACGTGTGGTATCCAAAGCATGCGCTAAACTCTCATACTCCCTACACAGCTTTGGTAGATTGGCAACAATTGGTCCCAGTAACTGGCGCTACAAACGCAATAATGACTCAAGGGTGACATTGTAAAGTACAGGATTACTTCCAATCCCACTTGGAATCTACCCTTTATAAATATGCCGTTAAACCACTGGACACCTGATTTGTTACCCGCCAGTGTAGGTCAGTCATACCATTAGTGAACTGAGCAGTCCTGAGCAGTTGTTTTGACTTCAGGGAGAAAATAAATGTGACTAAATTTTTTACAATGAATCAAAAAAGGCAATTTTGCGGTTCAACTTATAAAACCTTTCAGCAATAAGATGAAGGCCAGTAGGCCGAAATATTGGGGTTTTAAATAACATTTATTCTATTAATTTTATCTTTGTTCCTTTTAGAAATCACCTGTTGTTTATTACGCTTTCAGCAATTATTTCCCTATTAAATGCAAAAACGAAAAAGTTATCAAAACTCAACTTATCTAAAAGACAAACTATAAATAAATCTGACAGTACACAGATCAGTCGCCACCATTATTTGATGGTTTATTTAATGTGAATGGTTTAATTACCTGTATAAAAACACTTCATTTGTACCTTGGAAGTATATAAACTCAGCTGTTGATCAACTGTTAATGGTTTAATTACCTGTATAAAAACACTTCAATTGTACCTTGGAAGTATATAAACTCACCTGTTGATCAACTGTTAATGTGAATGGCTTAATTACCTGTATATATATATAAACTCACCTGTTGATCAACTGTTAATGTGAATGGTTTAATTACCTGTATATATATATAAACTCACCTGTTGATCAACTTGATCATCTACCAAGTTCAGGTGTTTCTGACGCTCTAGTCGGATATCCAAGTCATGCTTTTTCTTACGTAGTTTTTCAACTTCTTCATGTAGACTGCTAAGTTGGGCCTATACCATATGGCAGAACGGTGACCATGGGTTAAGCATGATAATAATGATTATTAGCCTTTCTGGCATCAATTATACAAAAACAAAATACAACATTTAAATTGACTATTTTCAGTAATTTATCAGTAATAAAAATATATATATATATATATACTTATTCAAAGTATCTATTTAAGTATTGAAAAAATAATTTTATTTGTGGCCTCCATTCCTTCTTACCCAGCATGGAATCAGCTAGCTATTCTTACTAAGCCTATTGCCTTGAAATGGTTTGTTTTTGTTCGAAGATGGAAGAAAGGGAAAAATAAAGAAGAGGAAAACACTATTTTTTTTAAAAACTTTTTCTTCTTAATGAACATTTTTGTAGAATGTAAAAGCACACCTACAGCGCGGATGGGAGGGGGATGGGTGGAGGTGGGGGAGGGGGGAGTATAAAGAAAAAAAATAGCTTGAAATAAACTTTTGTGTGTCACCGACATTCTTTATATAATACAACAGGTGCTCACCTGGATATTTAAGCAGTCAAAGCAAAATATTCTCATTAAGCAATACTGCAATTAATTATCCAAGAATTTATCTTTGTAGCATAAAGTGTTGTGTCTCTCCATGCCCAGCAAGTGTATATACATGTATACTGATATGGTGGTGATCTGAACCATATTAAAGCTCAGACTAAATGACGGTGTCCACTGGGGCAAATCACAAGTATCCATCTCTTAACATGAAGCAATTTTACATGTGGCTATGGTAAATATCCCTACCATTAACCTGTTATGATCCAGGGACTAAGCCAAAGAGACAGGGCAAGACCAAAGAGCTGTTCATTCTTCATGCCCAGTATTTGTATAATGGTAATAGGTTGAGATCACGACAAATTCAAGTTTTGATCCAGGGACTAAGTTCCAAGGGGTTGGACAAGATCCTGGGTCGATCCTGGTGGCATATGAGCTCCCAAATCTATATGCTCAGCAATTGCACATATTCCTACTTGGTGGGGATATAAATTGTTTCCATATTATAACCCAGAGATTTAGTTCCTAAGAGTGACGGCAGACTCCATGGCCAATCCTGGTGCCATATCCGTATTTGTCTTTGTATGCCTAGCAATTGGGATATATTTTTATTGTTTTGGGGTTTGTACATTATTACTACTACCACCTAGGAACGTTTCTAGTCAAATTTGGTGAAATTCCATACAAGGTTTGAAAGAAGTGGTTAGAAGATTTTCTTGACTGACTAACAATAGACATCCTAATTAATTAGCTGGTCTTTGTCTTTGAGACAAGGTGGCCTAAAAACACTTGAAGAGAGTAGTAAGATCTAGAATTATTGACTTACGACTTTTTCCGCCATACTTACCATTTCGCGTTTCTCTTGTTCTTCACGCGACTTTTTGGCCTTAGTGTAGAGGTACAGCCACTGGGTATACCGCATGTACAGTAGGTCCATCTGACCCTGGGTCAGTTTAGATTGCTGAGGCTGGACACGCACAACAATTATTCCATATCAAACAGAGTATCAGTTGGCAAATTCTTCGTAAAAAGTTCATATTAGAAATGGAAAATTGTAAATATATATTGGAGTATGACTAGCAGAGAAGTGAATGTTAATGTTTAGGGACATCAGATAACAGGGTAACTTCTGGGATTACCAGGTTAGATTGCAGTAAACTCTGACAAGATGGCGACAATAGCTGATTGATACTTTAAATTCAGTAATTTTGGAAAAGAAAATATATCTGATATATTAGAAAATTTGGTTATCTTTGGATTGAGTACTGACTTTGGTCATTTGTTTTCTGTTGGAGACGTCCATCATGTCGGACATGACCGAGGCATTGGACAGGATGGACTGAGAGAATGGGTCATGGATGTCTCGTAGGTCAGCACGTACATCTTTCCTTCCTCCATCTTTTCCTGGCGTTCTTATCAAATGTGACCTGTGTCCTGCAAATACCACAATAATTATCGTACACATAAATCGTGTAGGGGGAAAAAAATATCTGGAACTTGAAAAAGACAAAAGGACCTATAAGGACCAAGGGGTCAACATTACTCAGCACTAGTTTCCATAGGGCTCTATGAAGATGAAAAGCATATCAGAGAACCATAGAGTTAATTACAATATCCCGGAAACATTCTTACCTGTGATTTGTGACATTTTATCCGTGATTTTGACATTTTACCTGTGATTTGTGACATTTTACCTGTGATTTGTGACATTTTACCTGTGATTTTGACATTTTACCTGTGATTTGTGACATTTTACCTGTGATTTGTGACATTTTACCTGTAGACAGGATGGATCCATCTGCTTGTATAGCTGAGGCATCAATCTCTGATGGGAAGAAGGAGCTGTCCATTGTTGGCGTTGAGGTTTTTGCCCCTGTAGACATGTGGGAGTTATCAGGGGTATGGGGGCGCTCTCTCTCCTTTACAATCACTGGGGCAGTAGACTTCTTGGTCTTGGTGTGTCGACTGACGGGACGTGTGGAGACATCCATACTCTTACTGCCCTTACCAGACTTGTCTTGTCTAACAGACTTCATTAACAGAGAGATACTTTGTTACAGAGAATGCACTGAAGATTCAGATTACATGGGCCAGACCTGTACAGATCTTCAGAAATAATTAAAGCTATTTCCAACCCAGTAAAAAGTTTCCCATTTCCAGAAATTATAATTTAGGCAGTTGTGCAGGGATCCTTAAGCTACTGACTCTACATGACATGGTTCTGTAGGTAAAGCTAATAATTTATTTTGATCAGGTTTCAATACTGACTCTAAGAGCATGAGAGCCACCTATCATAGTAACAAAACAATTGTCATGACTCGAGACATTACAGTTCTGAAAAACTGAAAATGCAGAAAATTTAACTGGAAGGATGACTTATACAGGAACATTGCATAAACCCACCCTGGCACCACCAGACAGATCATTCAAAATCCAAACATGTACCACCATAAACCCACCCTGGCACCACCAGACAGATAATTCAAAATCCAAACATGTACCACCATAAATCAAACCAATAATAATAACTCATACAATTTCCACAAGCCCACACTTTTATATTATATATTTCCTGTCGAATAATAGATGATAAATCATAGCACACACACGAGGAAAACTTCCTTACCTTGTCTGCAATTAAAGAATGTGATGCAGCTGCCTGTTTATATCTAGAGGGAACTATTCTCTCTGAAATGAAAAAAAAAAAAAAGTTTTATATTTTTATTCAACTGACTGAAAATTCAGCTGAGGGTACTAACCCCATCTCTCTTTGGCTGAGGCTGTAGCTAAATACTAAGAGAGTTCAAGGTAACCCAAATCGGCAATGCTTTATATATGGGTAGGCTTAAGATTGAAACTTTATCTTGCTCAGCATGACCCAATGTTTATTGGTAGGTTTAATACTGAAAGTGTTCTTCAGAATAACCCTTTGTTGTTATGGGTGTGCTTAAAACTTACATTTCAGTTCAGGGTAACCCTATGTTTGATGTATGGGTGAACGCAAAAAACAATGTTACCGGTAATAAAAGATTATTTTGAAAACTTCTATTACTTACTATTTTTCTTTGTAGATGGTGGTGCTTTAGTAGGCGCCTTCTTTATTGTGTTCCTAAAATTAAATTGAATTTTCTTTCTGTGTATGGAAATATATTTCTCATTACACAATGTACATCTCATACTTAACTATGAAACAGGCCCGATAAACACAAATCCATAACTATATTTGCCAAAGTGAAGAATAGAGAGAAGTACCTCCTTATTTAATTTTTGGGCTTGCTCTTTAAACATACATTTACTTTATGTCATATATGTATAAAACAACTGTATACGAATCATTTTTAGAAACTCTTACAGTTTTGCATTTTTTTTCCCTCTGATGACATACTCATCCAATGAGCATACATCACTGACATCGCTGACCATAGACTGGACGTCGTCCCGGTCAGTTTCACCTGTTACATCTTGGACTGGCTGGCCAGCGATGGAGGAGACAGATGAGTCGTCAAAGTTGGGCTGGGGGAAATTCTGTCTATTCTCCAGATCCTTCTCTATCTGGGTCAGCAATGGTAAACTGTCAATTGACGCCTGGAGGTGTCGTCCAAGACCATCTAGATAGGGAAGATAGCAGGATGTTCATTAATCAATATTTCTGTTGATTGATCAGAAGATCTCGCACAACACATTACATCTCCAGCACACACTCAGGCATACACACATAGGAAGACATTAGCTAGGTGGCATAGGACTAATAAAATCTATTACCTGTAACTGAGCGAGATCGGGTTATCTCAGTCGAGGATTAAGATTCTGTAACAAAATCCAAACCGAGGGATAAGCCGAGGTTGGAATGTTACAGAATCTTAGCCCGAGACTGAGATAAACTGATCTTGCTTAGTTACAGGTAATTGGTTTTTCTCGCACCTTTATGTTAAAAAATAATAATTCAATTTTGCTAAAAACTTCAAGTATCCCGTCTGGGGCCTCAAATGAAAATTACCTCTTCACTTCTTAAGCTACATTTGAATGTTTCTGCGTAAAAAAATGTAGTCCGTTCTTACATAGATGACAACGCATTTCACAGTGTAGATTATATTTTATCTACAACATCAGATATCTAACAACATCAAAACTATACATATAACAATAAAACAACATTTATAATGCAGATTGTCAATTTCAAGCAGTTAATGTGCGGATGAATACATCGCAGTGTAAAATTCTGGGAAATGTCACATAAAGGTGCAAGACAGATCGGACGAGACAGAAAAATCTAGCATGGGGTATGACATGGGATATCTCTGTCTGAGGTGCGAGAATAGTAGTTATCACCTGATAGGCAGTTCCTGCAAATTCCTCAATATTGATTAATGTATGTATATGCAAATTGTATTAAATGTATATTGTATATCTATGTATTGTAAAACGTGTTAGAGTGGCATATTCTAGCTAGATAGGGCGCTATATATTAATTGGTGTATATCATTATTCATTATTATTATTATTAACGTACGTCGAACCTCAGGACCACAAAGTAATGTCACACTCTGCAAATCAAGAAACTGTTTGGTTGTTCTAAATGCATAATTAATAGCAAATTTTATTGACTTTAGAATCGTACAATGTCAATAAGATTGAACAACAGACTTAAAGTCTGCACAAAGTCATCACTTTTGTGAGACTCCATATAACAAGATATGATATCAATTTTGACACAATTTACTTCAATACTGGTATATCAAAATCCCCTGGACTCAATGTAAAGGGATATTTAATTAAAATCCCTTCAGACTATGAGGTGAAAATTGAAACACTAAGTTTTTCGTTATTTCAAATAAATTTTTAAAAAGTTTGCAAATACAACACAACATAATTATTTTACTTTAAATATTATTTTTACATTTAAATGTTTTACTGTTTAAATGTTATTTACCACTTTTCTCAAACATGTAATCAGAAAAGCAAAATACATTTGAACTAAACAACATCAAAATTATAAATTCAACTGTAAAGCTTTCAAATCATTATTACTGCAAATAACAGACAATTTCAAATACACAAACCTGAGTTTGCTTTCTCTCGTATCACAACAGGGGCTTTGTGACGTTTGTCTCTTACAGGCTCCGACAGAGATATAGAACTACATATGGACACATTTTTATCACGGCTATCTCTATTTCTTTCTGCTGAGGCTCTGAAATGAAACAGGAAATAAAATAAAGAAATGGTTTAAAAGAAAACAGATACATTGGGTAAGACCTTTTCCTATCCTGACCTTATTTTTTCTTTCAAAGAAAGACACAGATTTTTTTCTCTGCAGAAATGAGGGAAATCCAAATAGTGAACAATGGCATCAACCTAGGGTTTTAGTGAATCCACTTTTCTTAAAACTTGTCTATACTACATTCAGGTTGTGTCCTCTTTGGAATTTTAATTAGCATCTTTCATGACCAAAAGAAAATATGGTTATTTTATCATAAAATTTGTAAAAGATATGCATGAAAACATCCCAAAATAATTAATAATTTAAACATTGGGAACATTAAACCAAATGATAGGAAAATATTCATTGAAAAAATAATTGTAACAATTAGGGTAGTACACAACATAGGAAATTGTAGATGAAAATGTCAATTTACCCATTAACAGTAATAAATAGAGACAAGCATAAACCTTGGCATCAGTAAAAATTATTCTTTATATAAAAATCAGTGTATATTTTAACATACATAGAAAAGGAGCAAAAACGAAAGTCACAGCAAGGAAGAGTTAAAGAAGTAAAAGAAACACTTTAAATACCTAAAACTGGACTCAATAGCTGAGGGTGAGTGACAAACAATTTTCACTGGAGACTTTTCAAATCCAATCTGAATGTCCACCTCTGATTCAAAAGGATCCTTGGTCTGGCGTGAAGCGTCTATAAGTAGGACTTCCTGAGGCCTCTGTCTGTGTATCCTCTGGGTGGGTGACTAATTAAGGCAAACAATCGTTCAATGAACAGAACAGTGACTAGGGCAAACAATCGTACAATGTACAGAACAGTGACTAGGGCAAACAATCATACAATGTACAGAACAGTGACTAGGGCAAACAATCGAACAATGTACATAACAGTGACTAGGGCAAACAATCGTACAATGTACAGAACAGTGACCAGGGCAAACAATCGTACAATGTACAGAACAGTGACAAGGGCAAACAATCGTACAATGTACAGAACAGTGACCAGGGCAAACAATCGTACAATGTACAGAACAGTGACAAGGGCAAACAATCGTACAATGTACAGAACAGTGACTAGGGCAAACAATCGTACAATGTACAGAACAGTGACTAGGGTAAACAATCGTACAATGTACAGAACAGTGACCAGGGCAAACAATCGTACAATGTACAGAACAGTGACAAGGGCAAACAATCGTACAATGTACAGAACAGTGACCAGGGCAAACAATCGTACAATGTACAGAACAGTGACTAGGGTAAACAATCGTACAATGTACAGAACAGTGACTAGGGTAAACAATCGTACAATGTACAGAACAGTGACCAGGGCAAACAATCGTACAATGTTCAGAACAGTGACTAGGGTAAACAATCATACAATGTACATAACAGTGACTAGGGCAAACAATCGTTCAATGTACAGAACAGTGACTAGGGCAAACAATCGTACAATGTACATAACAGTGACAAGGGCAAACAATCGTACAATGTACAGAACAGTGTCCAGGGCAAACAATCATACAATGTACATAACAGTGACTAGGGCAAACAATTGTACAATGTACAGAACAGTGACTAGGGCAAACAATAATACAATGTACAGAACAGTGACTAGGGCAAACAATCGTTCAATGTACAGAACAGTGACTAGGGCAAACAATCGTACAATGTACAGAACAGTGACCAGGGCAAACAATCGTACAATGTTCAGAACAGTGACTAGGGTAAACAATCATACAATGTACAGAACAGTGAATAGGGCAAACAATCATACAATGTACAGAACAGTGACTAGGGTAAACAATCATACAATGTACAGAACAGTGACTAGGGTAAACAATCATACAATGTACAGAACAGTGAAAAGGCCAAACAATCATACAATGTACAGAACAGTGACTAGGGCAAACAATCATACAATGTACAGAACAGTGACTAGGGCAAACAATTGTACAATGTACAGCACATTAATATTATGTCGACGGTTAGGATATGGGTAAAAAAAAAGTGATTGCTGATCACTTTATTTACAGGTTTTGTAGATTTTGTGCTTCAGATAAATAATTCTTATAGAACTCTGAAATGAAAATCAACAGGAATTTGTTCTCTTAAATATGATAGAAATTCAAAGGATATTTTGATCAAACAAAATGTAAACTTGGTAAAGTAAAATGGAATTAAATACAATGTCAAAATCAGGGGTAAAAATAAAAACCAATAAATTATTCCAGATTCATGAACAAATCACATCCCCGATGGGACGTTAAAGGGTACTGGATCACCTGCCCAATCATGTGGGGGTTTTCTAGGCACTCAATTTTCATCTCACATTAAGGCATTAGCATGCTCTCATCCAAGCCAACTGGAATAATTAGTATTATAAGTTGAAAAAAACTAATGGTTGTAAAATACAGTAGAGAACTAATCTGTCACACATTTTATTTTGTCTTCAATTGTACCTTGTATTGCAAGGAAAGGTCAAAGTCACTATCTGAGAGGTCAAGGTTCATGGCGGGGTTTGAAGGTGCTGGAGATCGGTGTTCAGTGATCCTGGGAGCCATTCTGTATCATTCATGAACAAAAAATATAATACAACATAGCTGTTAGTACACAGCAGGCTTGAATTTGTAGCAATAAATATTTCACAATCTAGGATTTTAATTGGTAAGTTGTCATGCCAGTATGAATCCGTAAATTGCGTGAAAATAGACATTGTGATATTAAGACGAACAGTTTGAGCATCCATCCCATTCTATCTCCTAATATTATTTTTTTAAACATAAAAAACAACAAACAGTTACTTTGAGCACTGTATTCCTGTACACGAATCATCTAAATTTGTAAATTTGACAAAAGATACTTGGAACAGACATCATTTTACTTGTAAAGATAAAGGAATGTATATGGAGTAAATAACAGAAGTAGTTTTACTTTGCCCGACTGATCCCCTGGACGCTAGTGTTTTACCTGCGAGGTGTGACTGTCACACTCTCCGGCTCCTGTCCCACAGGAGTCACTGATGTGTCAAAGATCTGTTGTCTTGTGGACTCTTGTGCCCTCTGAGACCCATTCCTACTAGCTGGTACATTTTCTATAAATATGACAAATACCGGTATCTCATTTTATTCTTTGTGAGCTAGACACTTGTTACTAGATTGAAGATTGTGCCACTTCTTACTAGTAACTAAATGTTGGGTCATGTTGAAATCATAACAATTGCATGTATGGCAGATTCTCTCAGAAAAAATTTCTTAACCTATTTTAACATAAAACATGACAGACAAAATCATAAAACTTAAGTTTAGCAGAATCATAAAACCAATATTGTACAGGACCAACGTTTGCTGTCGGTACACATGTAGCTTGCTATTATCACCACTGTTTAATGTATATTACTTATATATTTCAAATCAGCAACTAAAAATTACCATCTGGCTACAAAAAGAATAACTCTTCAGTTCTGTCAAAAATGTCAATTTCAAAAGCCTTTCCATCAGTATATTTAAGAAATAATGATTAATAAGCATAATTTAAGAAAACCTGAATCACAGACTTAGCAATTTTGTTTTTTACGTATGACAGCTTTTGATGATTAATAAGGTTTTTGATTTCAATATTAGAGGTTGATGATTTTAAAATAATGTATAAAACATTTCACCATTTTATTAATTTATAAGACCTTTTTTTTAATTAACCTTTAGCCCAAATCTGCTTTTAAAAATTGACCATTATAAGATAAGAACATTTTTGCAGGCAGAGCCATGTTGCTTATTAAATGCTGGAGATAAAATAAAGATTAAAACTAAAACCAGTGATCAATTTCACTCCTATGCAATTAACTCAATAGAGAGGGACGTCTGGCTGGATGAAGCCAGTAAAACTGCATGTCCACTTTTACCTTCAATGCCACCGGCTAATACAGTCTTCTTGTGACCCTCAGCCCCGGAGGAGACCAGGCGACCCTGTGTAAGAGGTTTCCTGTAAAAAAATATCACCATCATGATTATTTTTTTAAGATATATTCTGTAAATGCTTTTATTTCCTAAAATCACCAAAACCTAAAGGAGATAGAACAGTTGGGAAAATGTAACAAAAACACTGGGTGTTAAATCCCCACCCCCTCCTAATTTGAGACCATGGCAGGGACCAAGCAGAACGCACTTTTTGTTCCCAATATCTAAAAGATCTGTATGTGTTATTATTTCACATTTCACTTTATTTCCCGTTTCAGTAATACTGTTACTATGAACCATTATAACTGTTACCAAATTTAAAATGCAGGGTTATTACCCATATGCGCCGTTGTGCACAACCGGAGAAATACCAGATGCAAGCCCCTAAGCTTTTTTCGGTTTAATTGCGATCACGATAATTAAGAATCCTGACTTATTTAACCGAACTAAGCATTTCATTAAAGACAATTATCAGCATTCAGTACAATATGCAAGATATCAACATGAAAACAATCTATTTTCATATGTCAGTGCTTCAATCTTGAAGCGGAGATGATTGGAAGCATAAGGCTTTTCTTTCAATAAAACATCATTTGTAAAGTAGGCATACATCACAAGCCTTAGTGAAACAAATTAAATGTACACCTGTTTCTCTTCGGTACAACATTTTGTTGTGGTGCAGGTCTGTACAGAGACCTCTTCGACGCCATTTTTCAAGTTACCCGCCGTAGAGTCCTGGTCATCAATATGTTTTATTTCAAAGTCGGCTCCAACAAAGCGTTGACGGGACTAGATACTTAACCTATATAACACAGTCGTTCTCTATGCAAAGCTACGTAAATCATCGTTAGTCACAAAACGAAAGTTGTAAGGTGAAGAATAAAATGCACTAAGAATAATTGAATTATTCCTAAATAAAAACCTGTGTAAATGATATTCAACTTGTAGCAAATTGGACTGAAGTGCTGTCAAGTTTGTTCAAATGAATGACCTTGACCTACTATTAAGGTCATATGGGTCAAATATGTTAAAATTGTTACACACCTCCTTAATAACTCAGTGGGTTGGCCAGCGTGTTGGGGTTAAGGGTTATCCAATATTTCAAACATTCAACGTGAGGCAGTGATCAAGTAACAAAAATAGATAAGATCAAAGTCCGTGATTAATCTAAGTAAAAAAGACTAAGTTATATATTAATTTAAGTAAAAATTAAAACGTATTTATTCTGGTGTAAATGTCTGCGGGCTATTCCGTCTTTTCGTATTGCAGAGTTATCTTCTCTTGTGAGCAGGTATTGATTGTTACGTCATTGGTTTGTGTGAGAAAATTACGTCGTTTTCTCAAAAATTGATGACGTTGATCTCACATACAAATGACGTAACAATCAATTGATACCTGCTCACAAGAGAAGATAACTCTGCAATACGAAAAGACGGAATACATTTTATCAGATATGATGAAAGTATCTTATCATGTTATACATATATAAATGTTGGAGTTAAAGGGTGAATTAAGTTTGTGAAAAACTTGAAACAACTGGTAACTCAATATATCTTTAGGCCCAGAGAGTACAGAAATTACATTTGGTATGTAAAATCTGTATCTTGCTGGAATTTTAAATACACTAATATCACTTCTGTTTAAATAACCTTGACTTAATTTAAAGGTTACAGGAGTGAAAAATCTTCCAATTCAGTTGCTAAGATGTATACAGCTGTATGATGTAGCTATAGTGTAATCTATTTTTTGCATTAAAGATATTAAAGTTGCAGTCACTGTGTGTTAAGTTCATCTTTCTAAAATGTGTGATATTTCACCGGGTGTGTTATATCATCATGATATATTTCACCAGGTGTGTTATCTATCATCAGAGGCTTTAATGGATTATGAAATTTGGCCTTTACTACAAAATCATGTTTGGCTGGATTTGTTGATAAGAATGGCCTTGACCTTTTGACTTTGCATTCAACATCACATGAGTTGAATGTGTCAACACAACTTCTTCTGAATAACATGTAAAGAGGTCTGGGATGGTGATATAGCTGTAGCCTGCCTTAGGATAAAGAGCTACATAATTGATATATTATGATCAAATGAATATCTGACCTTGACCTAAACCCACTGTCAAGGACATGCAATTTAGGTCAAATGTTTAAAACATTTGAAGTACATTTCCTGTATAACCAAGAAGTCTTTGGTACTGATATTTGGCATGTAGAACACTGGGATTACCTGAGGTGGTGAATTACCTGAAGTGTTTTAATTGGTTATTTTTACTTGAAGTGTTCTTTTACAAGAGATGTGTTACTGAAGATGTGCATGTTGGTTTACTTGAGATTTGTTCTGATTTCAAAATGGATCGATATATTTACATCAGGTTGCTGATGAATCAGACCTTATGGAAAGCAAGACAGATAAGGAAAAATGGAAAATGGGGATTTTATGGATTTCCACGGTGTTACAATTACCGTCAAGGACAAGCTCACTGTGCCAACGACACAATACAGTATAATGATGAGTAAGTACTGTTGTTTATCAATGTTTTCTACTGTCATTAACATGACTAATTTGGGTACCTCTATTATTTGCCTATGTGAGCATGTCACAGCAACAATAGAATTATATTATTGATACATTTGATATAGTTAGATTAAGCCAATAAACTTAACAATTGTAAAAAAAATCATACAAACATTTCATACAATCAGTATCTTAAAATGTAGAATGCGGTAGGAGCTGCTTTATCAGGCTCTAACTGCTGGTCTTAAGCTACCTAACTAATACCACCACATGTCTTCATGTGTGCTGGAGGTGAATTGGTGTTTTGTTTCATGGTGAGACCATGCTTCAAACAGATTCTTTTCTAGTGCCACCTCGCTTTGTTAACAGCACAGAATGCAACGTTAACATTACCCTTCTCTCCTCCTCCAAGGTTGAAGTTGTGTTGGCAGGAGAAAACCATTTTCTCTGAAAATTCAATACTATAATAAATTCATATTGTCAACTATTGTCAGATCACCCAGTTCTTTTACATCAAATATCAAGCTGAATCTTTCCGTGTATAGTCAGGTTTATTGGGAAATTAAACAAAGTTTGCCTTAAGAGAACTTAATTGATTTGTGCAGCAGTACTGAATTGGTCTTCTCAAAATCATCTCAATTAATCTGCATATAAAGTTGACTTCATTGTTAGATTTAGTCTTACTAATCATGACATTTTATGATAAAGGCTACATAACTCTTCATAATTTGTTATTTTTGGCAATGAAAACCTGGCTTTGGGTGTAAATTGTAATATATTCAAACATGTGCAGTCCTTCATAAAATCCAGCGGAGGATTTTGAACATAAACTATAGTTTATAGTTTATGTATGTATGTTTTACAATTTCCAGGTAACCGACTTCTTTTAATTGTTGAATTTGAAATTATCTGTCTATGTCATCACTTGTATATTTATGAAATATTTTGTTGATAGGAGATGGCTTCATACTAGTTGCTATAACTTGTGCCAAATCCTTTGTACCTATTTGGACAATAAATTATGTTTAAAGTCACTTTACATACCTGTGGTCACATTCCTTTCTATTTATTCTCTAATTGGTTTCTAATAATTTTGAAGAACTGCATTGATATGTATTATTGATATGTTTATATTTTTGTACATTTTAAAGTGTCAAACTATTTATTCACAAATATCTCATAATTATTTTTCGTGATATTTTAAGTTTAATTTAACTTTTTCTTTTAATGAAACTCTTTTGAGAAGGAAATAAATGACATTGCTTTTAACTTTAGCTATGTAGAATATATCCTTAACCCTTTCACCACTGTAGACCATAATGGACTCATCCATATCAATGCATGGCAGAGTCTACTATAGTTACATAGGGGTGAAAGGGTTAACAAATATTATGTTTTTATCACCCTATTGCCAGGCCTAGATCTTCTGTCACAGAGAAAAAAGAAACCTTCAAGTGTTAATCATGAAATTCTGTCATTCTTTGTGGTAACGATGTGTCAAACTGTTACAGGGACATCTTGAAGTTGTGAAGTACCACATGTTGAGCTGGTAGTTACATCTCCATTTAGAGTGATGTATGCGTTACATTAACTACTGTCATTGTGTTATACAATGTGAAGTACCACATGTTGAGCTGGTAGTTACATCTCCATTTAGAGTGATGTATGTGTTACATTTACTACTGTAATTGTGTTATACAATGGTCAGTACCTCTTTATGTTCGTGGGTTTCTTTATTTATAGTCTCAAGCTTGTTTTCAATGATAATTCTGCTTTTTAATTCATTGTCAGTCTGTCAACAAGTTTGTATCTATTTACGTCTTCTTCACCAAATAAAGAGGTAAAGTACCAAGAGTAGTACATTTTGGGGTTATTCTGTCACAGGTCAAGGTCATTCAAGGGCAACGTCTTCAATCAGCTTTAGTTTCATTTATAAGTTCCATTTTGACAATACTACATACTGCAAGTTGTATTGGTTGGTAACAGGTTGACATTCAGTTAAGGTGAAGGTCATTTACTTGCGGTCGTTTCATTCAAATTCAAAATAAAATGATACTTTCTTTATTTTGGACAAGATACTACATTTTGTTATCAGAAAGAGTTTTTCCTGCTCAGATTTCCTTGTTGGTATTCGAGAATAACTGCAGTTTTCTTGTTCAGACTGTCCTGGCTATTTAATGCCAGTTCGGCACTCCTTCCCTCCATCTACCTGGACAAAGATCTGTTCCCGAGTGTTGAGGACAGGGCCCTCAGGGTACAGGGGATCCTTAGGGAGTCACTGAGGGTGAGAGACAGTCTGAGGGAGTCACTGCAGTGTAAACAGTGCCAACATAATGAGACCAAGCCGATTTACGCCTACACCAGATACTGGTACAGACAGAAACAGTTTTACATCACAGTAAGTAGATACGGCAATATTAGTAATGAAATGTGCTATTTTGAAGTAGATTCAAAAGTGTTTGTACAGCAAAAATGTGTGTACATACATTATATACCAACTGTCTATAAACATAATTTGAAATTGTTATTCAAGGTAAGTAATGATTCCTACATGTTCATTTGTTGTATACATTTCTGAATATAGTAATTGCCAAAATTCAAACCCAAAAGGCAATTAGAATGAACAGTGTTAAAGCAGATATCTCTACCTTTAAGCATAGGCATTTTTTTAGTTGTAGTTTTAAAATATGTTTAAATTTGTATGCAATGCTCCAGTAAACATTGGCAAAATTAAAACTAATAAAACAATTAATATATTTTTTTCTTTAATTTTGTAAGCCAATAGAAATTTGTGGATATTTCTTTCATTGTAATTATTTAATTTTGTTCACAGCCTGACCTTGAGAACACTATAGGTCAATCCTTTGATGCTGGTTTAGATGGTGTAGTGGTGTGGGATAGCTCGGCTAACTTTAGAAATGTGACAGATTGTCTATCACTGGGAGACTACCTGGATCATACACTTGGGCCATATGTAAACTCCATTAACAGCTTTGCTAACGAGTGTCATGCACAGTGGTGTAGTGGTCACGGCCGTTGTCTGCGGAAAGCCTGGCCTCCAACAGAAAGCAAGGAGGCTACAGACTGTCAGAAACATACCGACCAGCAGAATAGACGAGAATTCTCAATGTACCGATGTGTCTGCTCTCAACCATGGACAGGAGAGCACTGTGAACTTCAGATGTAAACAGATGTTTGTTCTCATTCAATTAAAGACAATTCTACAAGCCAATAAACCAAATGGAATTTTGTCATAATTGTGTCAGTACACGGAAACCAATTCTCAACAGCTTCATAATTGACATGACAAAATAGAGAGAAGAAAAGATTTTATACTTAAACACAAATGTGCAACTGAGTCTGGAACATTTATACTAATTTTGTAAACTAGAATTGCAATTAAACAATTCATCTACTTCAGACATGATGAAGTAATCCATAAAATAAGAATGGAATTCATGTCTCTGTTTTACGCTTTTATTGATTTATTATACAAGATATATTAAGTATTCAGCGTCATGTCGCTCAATTTTGATTGCACAGATAAAGTGTCCGAGCCTTGGTGTGTGTCCTCATCAAGAGATGTTTTCTTATCAATACTGTCATTATCACTTTTATGAGAAAAACTTTGTTCTCCACCACAAGCACCTGCAACAGTCTGAACTTCTGAGCTGTCAGCATTTACTGTTGTCACGGCAGCAGGACAAGATGTCTGAACTTCCTGTTTGGCGAGTTGGTCAGTTCTCCTGAGGTGGCAGGCTTCTTTGTAGGGTGGACTGATGGGAGACTGAGTAGGGGGGTGGTATGTGTACTCCTTCCCTTCCTCTAGCTGTCAGAGAAACACATTTATAAATATTAACAATCAGTTCTGTCATATATCTACGTCCAGCTGGCAAGAAAAACCCATTCAATGTTGTTTTTTCATATACTTGTACGTTTCTAGTTATCATCATAAGTATCTTTTACTAGTCACAGATGATTGATTTTCTTTGATGCAATTATTATCTCTCAAAAGGAGGCACAATGTGTAAAATTCTATTCAGAATCCACGAAACAACTGGAATAGATAATAGATTTTAGCCCAAGAAAAGTGTACAAGCCAAGCCAGGTTCCATGTCGACATTTTATCTTTTCAATAATGCCCAGACTGAAATAAGTTAACTTTTCCTCAGACTGAATTAAGTAAATTTTTCATTTTTGAGGTACATTAGATTTAAGATTTTTATCTTCTTCCGTCCTTTTTTATATAAAATCTGATACATCCCATGATTCCTCACACAAACTAAATGATCTTACCACCATATCAATGCTATTATTCCATACTTTATTTTGCCCTTGAATTTGGAGATGAATTCAACAAAAGGAGAAAAATTCTTAATATATAGTTAGCCAATTTAGAAGCTCTATTTGTAAGTACACCTGGGCAGATTCAAAACTGGGTGATTTTATTTTAAAAGGTCAAGGGCAAATACTTGACCTTGTGATCAGCACATAATCTGTAAAGGGAAATACTTTTATTCATCAGGAGTGAATAGGCTCTGAACTACACTGGGATATTATCTTAATTTTTAAAGGGAGATAACTACGCTTACCTGGAGTGGGTAGGTTCTGTCGGAGTCAAATCCACTGAGGTCTCCGCAGGCCAAGAAGGGAACTATGACTCTATTAGGGCCTTCTAGGTTGTTAAAATCTACATCTGATGTAATACGAAAATAGAGACGTTTTTAACTAACATGTACCTTTGTTTTAGGGATCAAAAACCTGGAATTAATCAGTAGTTCATTAAAAGGTATGCTTAAACATCTTGACAAAAGGAAAGAAAACATCATCAAGCAGTAGCTGTTTATATAAGGTTGTCCATAGCTTGTTAACTATCAGGCTACAGAACATGGTCCAACATGTATATAGGCATCCAATTTAACCAAAAATTATCTCTAACAGCAGATATATATATATTATTGACATAATATTTAAAGCACTTTACATCCTCTTGATGACTTTTATCTAAATCACAATTACACAGCCTCGATCAATAACAAGATCTTAGTACAGAGGATAACCTGACAAAGTCACAATTACAGTAATCTTTAATAGCCTAAATAATTATTTTATAAAATATATTATAACAACAAGATTTTAGGCTACATGATTATCCATTAAAACAGTCATGTTTATATAAAGCATAATCTTATAAACCTTTTATGATATTTATCGGATAAAATTTACCATAGCGATGATCAAGAAGTGGGTTAGACATGTTAGGCTGGTAGCCATCAGGTGGGGCATAGCCCTGGCAGACAACGAAAGCCTCTGAAAACAGATAAAATCTATTGTAGAAAATATGAAAACATAATTCATTAACAGATAGTTGGTTGTTTGACAATTTACAGACTTTGTAGATTGACTTTAAATTCTGTAATTGTCCAAAAATATGATATTTACAATGTCATACTTTATAGGTACTTATAATTAACTTACTATGTTATATTTGTCCAGAAAATATGTATCCATGCATTGGCAAAATGTCTGTGGATTCTGACCTATCTGGAAGGTTGTTCAAATTTACCATTATTTGCCTCTACAATACTTATTACAAAAGTATCAGAAACATCATCTGAAAATTGTTTTTGAGTTCATCATTGAAACTTACCTATACTGGAATTCCGGCTACTCCTTGGCTTAAAAATGGACACCAGTGGAAAAAATATTTTCAGTTGTGAATACAGCAATGTCACATCTTTGCCTCGAAATATCTGAAAATGTTTTATAAAGAACGGAATACAGCAACATCACATCTTGCCGCGAAACATCTGAACATATTCTATAAAGAAGACTCATTTGTGATTATAAAGAAGAAACTAAAACACTATTGTCTCTTATGACAGTATTATATAGTATTACACCTTCAGCACCTGAGATTTGAGGGAGTATGCTGTAGTACAGGGGACCTGGGAACCATACCTTGGCAACAAATGTTCCACCTTTCTTCAGGACATGGGTTGTGATGTTCAGAGCCTGCGGGAAAAAGAATAACAAGTAATAACACAACTATGTATAAGTAATAGTAGGCATCTGAAAAATTACGACATTTTCATATTCTAGTCTTTAAGAGTTTGTTTCAGACTGACAAATAGGAGTGAGCAAATCATACCTTGTATAGTAAGGTAAGATTATTTTGCTTTATACAATACAGGCATTTCTAAAAAAAATAAGTGAATTTTTATTCTGATTTTGTGGCTCTAATCTTTCCATGAATTTTACTCCAATAAGAAAATTAAATTTACACAGATTAACATTTTGCAATCCAGAAATAAGAGAGTATTTCATTTTTGCATTTTTACACTGATAAATTTTTTAGGGATCAAATATATTACCCACTAATAAGCAAAAAATATTTGTGCAAAAATAATCTGCTATATGGTAATCTGTCATAATTTCTACAATAAATATTCCCAAGGATGTTATTTCATATAATCTTTACTCCAGTACAAAAAATCTACCTGATAGGCTGGAGTAATCCATTACAGATATATCAATATATTGAAACCTGTCTCATCATCAATCTAATTAAAATTATATCTTCACATCGCTCCCGTTTACTGATATGTCGCGTTGAAGATCTAACAACATCCCGTAGAGGGTCACGTCAGAGGTCAACATGAATGCATTATCGTATTTATAACAAGCCAATCAAAACGCGACATAACTCTTTCTTTAAACCAATCAGAAAGCAGGACCTGTAGCACCTCGTAGCCCAAAATCCATTTTTCGTCTGGTCCAGTGATTGTTTGAATATTACGAAGCCTGTCATTGGTTAATTTTAGTTTCAGGTTGTTAAACTTTTAAACGACAACATCACCAGAAGAGGAAGTCTCTCTTATTTCAAAGCAAAATCCGCAAATTGTACAAGCGTTGTCTTGTAGATAGACACGGCGTGGTGTCATGGGCGCCGCCATTTTCGATGCTCATTTGACACCCCTCGGTCTTTTATCATAGCAAGTGGGTTTCAAAATCATTACATCATCAATTACAGAAATGCGTAAGCTCTCATCTGAGTGGTTAATGCAAAGGTCGCCTGAACATGACCCTCTACGGGATGTTGTTAGATCTTCAACGCGATATATCAGTAAATGGGAGCGATGTGAAGATATAATTTTAATTAGATTGTCTCATCATCTGACACCAGTCTGCAAGATTAGCCGTTGGTTCGATGCCCGAGGCCAGTAAATTATCTGTTGGGCCAGTAAAGTTTGTGAAGCCAAAAGTCAGACGGGCCAGTGCAAAAATATCATAGAAACAAATATATATATATTGTTACAACCATATCTGTGTTAAATGTGTGTTTCATTACTGCAACACCTTTCATGTCGTATCAGGATAAAATTGGCCATTTGGATTTCCTAGGTAAGTCTAACAGTAACATTCTTGCTTTCACTGTAGATGTCACACTACTTCTACTATCGGTTTGGATGTGTTGGGAGAGAGTATGTGACCAAGTGACAGTATGATAAAATCCCTATATAATTAAACATATTTACAAACCATTCAAGATGTTTTATTATTTTTTGTTTTCTGCCGTTATTTTGTACATTTATTTGGACCAGTGAAAATTAGTTGGGGCCAGTATATTCTGAATTCTTGCAGGCCCGAAGGGCCTGTGGCTTCTGAAGTTTTTCGTGCAGACTGTGACACCCATTGATACCCGTTATATTGTTCAGATTAGACAGAATGTCAGATTATAAAGGTTTTGTTTGGTACAGTAATTTTTCAATAAGAAATTGGATCACAGCAGTTTGGTAAAATAAACAGGATGCTAGATACTCAGGGGTAGGATTAGACAGCTTTTTACTGTACAAACTTTAAACTTACAGCTAACAACAGTTGTGCTTGAATGTAGATTAGACAGCTTTTACTGTACAAACTTTAAACTTACAGCTAATAACAGTTGTGCTTGAATGTAGATTAGACAGCTTTTTACTGTACAAACTTTAAACTTACAGCTAATAACAGTTGTGCTTGAATGTACTCATCAATGTCGTGAAGTCCAGTCACTAGAGGAAAAAGAAATAAGAGAAAAGACATAATGTAAATATGAAACTCAATAGTAGCGCAAAACTTAACCAACATACATGTAACTGTGATCAAGTCAGATTGGGTGACTGTGGCAGCAATGACAGTGTCAATAAAGTCAGGATAAACGATTGCTTTGGGAACTATAACTCAATTGTCCCTTCATAGTTTTGCATTTTAAAATTTTATATTTAGAAGCAATTGCTGATGATGGAGAGTTCTCATCAATTGTTGATAAAAGAAAGTTCTCATCATCAATTATAAATGAAAGTTCTTATGAATTATTGATCAAGAATTATCCTAATTGCTAATTAAAAAAGTGTTTATCGAGTTTTAATTAAACTATTCATTAACTGTGAACAAAAGAAGCTTGCAATTTATAGTTGGAAAGTTCTCATTAATTGGTGATAATAGCTTTAGTTGTTAATGAAGGAAATCCCTCACTAATTGTTAATCGAAGAAACTATTGTTAATCACAGAAGTTTCTGATAAATAGCTCATAAATTGATTTTTTCATGTTAAACATCAACTACTGATAGTGTTGAGATGTGGGAACAGTGAGGAGTGTGCCCTTACCATCTGGTGCTCCGTCACACACTACAAGATCAGCTTGTTCTCCTTCAAAATGGCCAATGATTTCCTGGGCTGTTGATTTCTTGAAAAAAAAAATAAGTCAGTTTGAAAAAAGGTTGAATCACGTTAAAAATAAACAGTAAAATGTTGTGGCAGCCATCTTTGTTTGTGGGATCCGTATGCTATGTCCTGTCCTTATCCATTTTGTACCAATCACCACAGACCTTGACCTAAAGCTTCACAGGGTATCCAACACACAATTACTTATCACCAAAATGAAAGTTAAGGCTACTCTGGTCTATCTCTAGTAACAGATACCTTGACCTCCACCCAGGGAACCTGTTCAATATCCATTGCACATCTACATAGTATATCACCATGTGAAATTTCATAAATGTTTGACCTCTGGATTTCGAGATACTAAATGGAGTTGTAGACAGACAGATAGACAGACACTGAAGAAACACAACGCTACAAAATATACCCTTTACCATTATTAGGGGAGCAAAGTTCTTAAAATGGTGAACATATCTACTAAATCTATGTGCAAGTGATGGAAGGTGAGCTTGCCTGTTTATGTGGAAAAAGGCAGTGCAAGCTATGGTGTTAACAAGAGACCCAATGGGCCTGCATAGCTCACCTGGTATTATCTCACAATTGTAATCTTAAAAGTGGACTAAAATACAGCTACAGGCAAAATATCAGTATTTCATTCATAAGAACCTATTAAAAGATTTAAACATGACACCTGTGACCTTGAATGTCGAACAAGGACATTATAATATTAGGTTGAACAGAGTTTATAGTCTTACAACCCAGCATGCTTCTGAAAAAATATATTACCCTGGACCTTTTGGTTATACAGAACAAATCATTTAAAGATTTAAACATATATTGACCACTGTGACCTTGAATATGGGCGAAGGTCATTCACTTGGTAGTCCTTCATCCCAGCATGTTAATGGCCAAATATCATCACCCTTGGCCTTTTGCTTATTAAGAAGTCATTCAATGGTTTTAAACATATTTGACCCCCCTGACCTTAAAATATATATGTCAAGGTCATTCATTTGAACTTGGTAGTCCTTCATTCCAGCATGTTACTGGCATTATCCTAGGCCTCTTGATTATTCAGAAGAAGTTGTTTAAAGGTTTAGAACATATTTGACTCTGTGACCTTGAAAAAAGATGAAGGGCATTCATTTGAACAAACTTGGTAGCCCTTTATCCCAGCATATTACTGCCGAAATATCATCACCCTAGGCCTCACGGTTATTCTGATAAAGTTGTTTAAATGTTTTAAACATATTTGACTCTTGTGACCTTGAATATAAGTCAAGGTCATTTATTATAGAATATAGACATGAGTACAAAAAATTAACCAAGTTTTCTACCAAATTTCATAAAATCCTTCACACATTTTTAGCCCACCTGGCCCGAAGGGCCAAGTGAGCTTATGGCATGGTGCGTCGTCCGTCCGGCCAGCGTCCGGGCGGCGTCAACTTTTTACTTTAAACAACTTCTTCTCAGTAACCAAAAGGCCTAGGGTGATGATAATTGACCAGAAACATGCTTTGATGAAGGGCTACCAAGTTTGTTCAAATAAATGACATTCATCAATTTTCAAGGTCACAGGGGTCAAATATGTTCAAATCTTTAAATAGATTCTTCGGAATAACCAAGAGGCCTAGGATGATGATATTTGACTAGTAACATGCTTGGATGAAGGGCTACCAAGTTTGTTCAAATAAATGACCTTGCCTTATATTCAATGTCACAGGGGTCAAATATGTTAAAATCTTTTGAACAACTTGGGCTGCCAGGATTTTTCAAATAAATGTCCTTGACTTAGATTCAAGGTCATTTATTTGAAAAATCCTGGCAGCCCAAGTTGTTTAATTTTTTTTTAACATATTTGACCCCTGTGACCTTGAATATAATTATTTGAACAAACTTGGTAGCCCTTCATCAAAGCATGTTTCTGGCTAAATATCATCACCCTAGGCCTTTTGGTTACTGAGAAGAAGTAAAAAATTGACGCTGGCCGGACGACGTACCATGCCATAAGCTCACTTGGCCCTTCGGGCCAGGTGAGCTAAAAATGTGTGAAGGATTTTATGAAATTTGGTAGAAAACTTGGTTAATTTTCTGTACTCATGTCTATATTCTGTAGCTGTGACCTTGACTGTATGACCTTGATCTGTTTGAAAGATTTGTCACAAATTCACAAAAACTGGGCAAAGCCTTAGTCATGAACCTGTGGACAGACAAAATGTTGGCAGATGGACTAACAGACACACATTAAGATGTTGCCACTATATGCTCTGTCAAAGGCTGGTATTTATGAATGACGGAGAGGTCTCCCATGAGAAGACTGAAACTGTAGACCTGGTACGGTGTTGTGTGTTACCTTTGTAATGTCCCCCTGTAGTTGTATCACTCCTGGGATTGGTGCCATGGCCTGCAGATCTACAGCTACTATTTTGACATCCTCACCTTTCCCATCCTCACCTCTGTCATGAAAGCAGATTAATATTGTCTAATGATAGATGTATTCCAAAGTATGAGTAATCTGTTTAAAACATGATCTTTATAAATTATTGTTTGTTCATTTCTCATCAGATGAAAATATATCTACATAACTTCATTTATCTGTACTTTCAAAGGTTAGTCCTCTTGGTCTACAAATACACAAGTGTTACAAAAAACACCTTAATAACCTGATTATCTTTGACATCACCATGGGTACGTGTTTCACACAAGTTTTCTTGACAAAATAATAATATACAACATTTATATAGCGCCCTATATAATTTGTAAAATTACTCTAAAGCGATTTACCATATATGGATAATAGTATTAGTTATAATTGTTAAACAAAAAAAAGGCTTTACAATCACCATTATACATTAAGCAAGAAGATAATCATCTCAATGTGCACATAAATAAAGGGTGGACATGATGTCTGTGAAAAGAGCCTAAAAGGCAGACCCTAAGTGTGTAACCTACGTTTCCTTGACAACACCCTAAGTGTGTTACCTATGTTTCCTTGACAACACCCTGAGTGTGCTACCTATGTTTCCTTGACAACACCCTGAGTGTTTTACCAAGATTTCCTTGACAACACCCTGAGTGTGTTACCTACGTTTCCCTGACAACACCCTGAATGTGTTACCTATGTTTTCTTGACAACACCCTGAGTGTGTTACCTATGTTTCCTTGACAACACCCTGAGTGTGTTACCTACGTTTCCTTGACAACACCCTGAGTGTGTTACCTACGTTTCCTTGACAACACCCTGAGTGTATTACCTACGTTTCTTTGACAATACCCTGAGTGTATTACCTATGTTTCCTTGACAATACCCTGAGTGTGTTACCTAGGTTTCCTTGACAACACCCTGAGTGTATTACCTACGTTTCCTTGACAATACCCTGAGTGTGTTACCTACATTTCCTTGACAACACCCCTGAGTGTTTTACCAAGGTTTCCTTGAGAACATCACAAGTAAGTTTGGTACCTGAGTTTCCTTGACAACACTTGACTCCAACTTCCTGGTGCCGCACACAAATCTACCACTTTTTTTACACCTATAAAAGAAAAGAAAATTACTTATTTACTTAAAAGTGTAACAAACATATATATTTCTTATATTTCTACATGTGTAACAGCATAGGAAACATGCCCAGTCAGACTGGGACTAGAACCAGGGACATCCAAACTGTTGATGGACGCTCTAACCAATTGAGCTATGTACCTGGTCACCGAATATTGATTCAATACTGTTTCACTGTACCTTTTAAAGGCTTTAATTTACTTATTAACGATACTGTAATGCATTCAATCGTCTTTTAACATCAAATTTCATGTTTTAAAGTTGCTTCAAAAATAAAAATTAATACCACACACAAATTTTATTTTAGAAATTACCTTGGAAAAGGTTAAAGTCTTGATTGATCTGTAGTAGTTTGAATGCACTGCGAGCTCTCCAGCCCTCCTCCTTAGCCAGTCTGTAGTAGACATCTCGCTTGTCTTTACTGGACTTCCCCATACCTTAGGTCTTAATCCCCACCTCGTCAGTTCCACTTCAGATCCAGTATACGGTACACCAATGTGCAATCAAACAATCAAAATCTCTACAAAGAAGAAATACATGTATATCATGAAGAAACTCACACATACTCTATACATATTTCAATCTTCTAAAGTATTTGAAGTGAAAGCTTTCAAAATTCAGATTGATCATACAATTGGGTCAGATACTAAATCTGTATACCATAACTTGTAAAGTTAGTCATTTTTGCTACAGTATGTTTTATTGCCATAGTTGTTTTAACTGGGTCAATTACCCTTGGTTCTGGCCAAAAAAGTTATTGATATGCTTCCAGAGATTCAGATCTTGCAGAATCTCCTCCTGTTTTCTAGGATAGACAGGTATAACTCTTTAGATTTAGATTTATCTGGTGCCTTCACCTAGGACTGTAGGTACCAGTAGAGTAGGTTACACCTTTAACTTTATTGTTACTAGTGCAATGTTGTCATATGTTCTTATAATAGTAATACATCTATAAACGTTGTGCGTGTAAAATCTTTTGATATAACCAGAATTACACTATATGTTTATAGATATGTATTTATACTGGATTTATCTTGAGAATGCCAGGTGTCATTCAAGAAAGAGGGGGAATATGTAACAGGGTGTACTCGATGCACTAGGTCAGCATGTTTACTTGTATGTGTTGTCTATCGTACTGTCTCATAACAAATACGTGTAAGGTCGAGCGAATGCGATTGCACAAGTATTTCAATAACCACGCCACCCTGGGTGTCGTATATACACGGCTGACGCACCCAACCTTCCTACCTCACTCTGCACTGTGCTGCCGTCGGAGCAGGACAGACCTTTCCAGGCCTCTGGTAAGTCATTATCAGTTCAGCAGTAACTTGTAAATGTACATTAGCACAGTGCAATATAATAATATAATACTATATCTGTATAATTAGTCTTAATTATAACATCGAAGCTTATAAAGCGAAAGTATAACTAAATAGTGTAGATAGACATAGTTTCGCATTTATTGTATATCTATCATCTATGACGTTCGTTTCGTACTTTGTTCAACTTGTATATTTTACTGATATAGTGTATTTTAGGTTTTTCTACTGGATTATAAATAATTACTGTTATGTGGTTGTGATGACATGACAAAACACCAGATATCAACAATAGACTTGTATTCATTAGCCAGGCGTTCACATTACAACAATACAAGTTTACATGCCGCCATGCTGGTCCCAAGAGACCAGAACGAGGCTAGTTATAGTCTGCATCGGATAAGTGCTTACATTAGAGTCTCAATCTCTCTATAGTCTGTTTCACAACAAAGTAATACTAACTATTACACAACAAATACCAATGAAAAAACTCTTAACTCTCGTGCTTGTTGTGATTGAGGGGAGCGTACGGTTTTACGCAAGGAAGCAATTGAATTTATATTGTGCAAAGATTCTGTGACATCAAACCTCAGCTTACACCTCAGGTTTAGATTAAATCACAGGGACCTTAGAATTTGTTACAGCTATATATATATAGTAGTACTATTAATATTAATATCCGGTCTCCTCTGCCCCGGCTGGATGCAATATATAAAAATGTCTAGTCGTCAGAAGCTACGTTATCGCAGCTACAGCTGTAACAAATTTTCAGCTCCCTGTGGATAATAATACAGAATCTTAGCCCTCTACTAAGATAACCAAGAGACATATAAAGTCAGTACTTTGTAGTATATAAGGTGACAGTACCCAAATCGGATCACCAAACCATGTAATTTTTTTAAATCATTGAAAAATCTGAGGAGGAATTATTTTCATTTATGGTTGTATCAAAGAAAGAATATCGATGGGTGTTCTTACAACCAAAATTAGCACCGGAGCTCACTTGAGATATTTATAGAACGCCCCGAAGTCACCAATCAACGTCTCCGGTTTTTGCAAATGTCGGGACCCAAAACAATTCAAGGCTCAAGTTTTGCAGTATCGTACGCTTCGAATGAATATTTTTTTGTCAGCATATTAACATTTTATGATGACCTTTACTGGCTTTAGACAAAAAGTATTTCTATAGTGTGAATTTATTCCTATAGTCCAAAACAGAGTGCATAGTCGTCGCATGCACCATTTTTTTAAAAACGTAATCAAAACATTGACATTTGAGTTTGAAATAACGTTTTCTTGCGCTATTTGAACTTAAAAACTTATTATCTGTAGACAAAAAATGGTGCATGGCTATCTATTCTAAGACTACATAATTGTTATAACTGATTTGTTGACACATTTATTTATTTATGGTATTTTTATAAAAAGTTATCCGATTTGGGTACCGATCTGATTTGGGTACTGCTACCTTAGTCTCTGGATAACCCCATCTCGCTCAGTTAAGTTACAGTTAAAGATTGTATTAGTCTGTCTGTCTGTCTGTTATTAGCTGTTGACACCTAATATTCAAGACGAGTGTGATCATGACCAGTCGCAACCACAAATATCAGTATGAAATGTCTCGGAATATAAGCAGCTGAACAGTTTATAATTCATTCTGTATATTTTTAATAAATATGACTTACCATGGGGCTTGATGTTCTACCTGGTTTCGGTCCGTTTATAGACGTTTCCGTCTCTTGACCACCTCAATGTTTCTTATTATTGTTGTTACGCATTCTCATTTTTCTTTTCTTCATTGATTACATATATAGGTTTACTCTGACTACTGTGCTAAAACTGACCATAATCGCGGGCTTCAAAATTCTGATCGGTCGCCTGTTTAAGCGACCGATCAGTATATATGTTGACCCGATTATAGACCTAGTCAGTTTTAGCGGACCTACATCTCACCAATATATTGACAGAACTTCGAATCGCTGTGATCTGATCAATGATTTGATAGACAGTGTACTCGATCATTCCCTTTGAAGGAGGAGATCGTGTGCTTTAGGTTAACTTACCTGTATTGAACAAATCTTTCTGATTCAATAACACAAGTCCGACTGCAACAGGTACTGCAACACATGCATAATTTTTCCAATTTTACCTCCAAATGAAGAACTCTATTTCATTCCAGTTACCTCCCCTCGACTATGCATTAAGGCTTCTCGTACCATCGCCAAAACATTGGGAACTTTACTCCTTCATGACTACACATTTTATTAATTATTTCCGGTGAAAAAAAAACATTTTTGGTAGCCTTTTTTTAATAATTGATGCTTATTTGTTCTTAAGTTTAAGATGAATAAGGAAATACAAATATTCAAATTCCATAATACAGGATGGCCACTATGGCTTCCAATTGGCCGAGACAGCTCAGACTGTAACTTCTATTCTGTTGGTTTGATTTTGTTCATTACTAAGTGTTTACGGCACTCATTGTCGGATAACATATATGTGTAAAATCTTATTACCAATAGACATAATGTCAAAATTCAAGATGACTGCTAGGCTTAAGCTTCTACATTGCAATTATGGGAAATAGCATGAATGGTCAGGCAAATTGAGGCCCTAAAGCTTGCTGAATTAACTGTCAGTTTTTTTTCTTTGAGATTTAAAAAAACGAAAGCATTTTACCATGATGACCTAGAAAGTAACTTAAATATTTTAATAAATCTAACAACAATTAATCCACTAGTACAGCTTCCTATCAAGTGGTTCAAGGTCAACACCTAAGAAGAATTTGGTGGTCCTTCATGGTTCAATAGTAGTAGAAGCTGCCTGAATTCATAACATGTGACAAATGACCTTGAAAGAGGAACAGTCTTCTTTTTTTCAGGACAAAGCTGATAACCCTTCACCAACACATGCTACAGGCCAAATATCGATGTTAGGATTAACAGTTTGATAGAATTTTTTCACACTTTTCACCCAGTGTCCTTGAAATTGAGTCAAGGTTGTTTATCTGAGTATTCTGATAACCTTTGATCCTCTTCAGCATTCTACAGGTCAAATAGCTGGACTCTAGACATCAAGGGTCAAGCTGTTTGAAGTGTACATTGATGATGACCTGACTGAATTGCAAGAGCTCACAGGTAATCAAAATGTAAAGCTGCTTGAAAGTGACAAAGAAAACCAAAATAACGTTCAAAAGAAATTAAAATTTATTCTCAATCTGTATAAAAATAGTTTTATGCCCAAACAACGAAAACATACATTGGATTGCAATTTTTCTGAACAGCACTTTTACTTGCTTATAATCTCATTAAAATCATAGGTACTGTACTCGTTGTAATTATTGCCCTGGGTATGTGAAAATTTGACACACTGGGGTGCTTGTTAGGATAACAATTACAGCTTGTGGCAGCTGCTGTAAATGGTCACTGACCGGCACATTTAATGGAGAATTTCAAATGTTTACTTTCTCTAAAACACTGTAAAACAGCTTTGTCAGATGGTGACATTCAACTGTCTGATAAAGAGTACAAATGTAGAACTTTATTAGTTAACTGGTAAGGACCAGAATGGAGGGTCATGTTGTGAAAAGGGGGCTTTTATATCATTACAGTAAGTGTCATAAAGGAGAGGGGCACTTTTCATTGGAGAGGTGTTTGTAAGGGGAGGGCACTCATTACAACAAATACAACAGAAAAATAAAATATCAAAATCAGAAGTCTAAACGTAATCACATGAAGCATAAAATCTTAATTATAGATTGATAGGTGGGATAAAATGTTACTTAAATCAAAGTCAAAATCTTAACAAAAGGCATTATAAAATCATATTTCAAAAACCTTATTTGAGTCATACAGGATGGTATACCAATGTAATAAGATGGTGATATCAGAAAATCCATTGACTCAACGGAAATAAAAATGTGTAGTTACCAAAGTGAAAGTTAGTGACCCAACATCTGATAATTTGTTGTGTGATAAAAAGTCAATGGTATCTACTGGTTTTACATCTATTTTTTGTTTGATTCTGTTTTTAAGAAAACCAATGGGCCAACACCCACAACCAATGAGTAATGAAAATAATATAACCTATTGTTTTGTATTAAAATGCAACTAAATTTAAATGATCTTCTCATACATTTCAAATGAACAAGATATCCAGAAGCTTTGTGCAGAGTGCAAATAAAACTCAAATTATGCTCATATTTATGTAAAACGTGTGCAATAAAATTTTATTCTCTTTAAAGACTAAACCTTTATAAACTTAAAGTTAAAACAATGGTAGCTATACAATTGTGGAAGCAGGTTAATCCAACCCCTAGCTGCTATAATTACCTGTAAAATTGACCATTGTAAATCAAGGTATCATTTACAACCTCTGCCTTTTACAATAACAGCAAAATATCATTAAGGTAAGCAAGCAATAACCCAAACCCTATAAAAAATACACAGGTATCTCTTCATGTGCCCATCAGGAATATGTAAATTACATGTACAATGTACAATCATTAGATCTACACACTGGTTATATAAACAGCAGCCATAGCTGTTTGGCTCTGTTAACATTCATATAATACATAAAAGATATACCATTTAACCGATAAAATCCCAGCAATACAATTACCTTGCATATCATTGTTTAACAAACTTTCAGCAGTCATTGTCACAGGTGAATTGATAACAAGGTAACTTTACCATACAATATTAAACCCACACATTAGATATGTTACTATCTACATTAAAATTGTTTTCCTTTAAAACTGAATAAACCATTAAGTAAAGAGGCCAAAAACACCCCTCAAAAACAAAGACATAAACCTCTTTAACAACAAGAGATCTGACGAAACATGACATAATGATACAGGGGTAGTTGTACTGTACCAATAAATGCTGCATATACCATTAACGTCGGCTGAGAATTACCACACAGCAAGATTTTTATATACTCACCCAAACTTAACATTATATATCTAGACAAAGATTTATCAAAAATATTTGAAACTAAGTCTAGTTTTGCATCAATTAGAGATTCATATAACTTTCAGGTTACTGCTATTTCATAAAAAATATACACAATAGCCCAGTTTGTAAAACAGATCTAAACCATTCACATGCAACCGAAGATATTTCTAAACTCTTAATACCCTGGTACGATAAAGACTTTTTAAAAATCAAAACAGATTTACCAGATAGGCAATAAATATAACACCTTGTTTCCTGAACTAGCCAAGGCCGTGACAGCACTGCTATCATATGTATAGAAAATGAAAATGGTTCTGTTTTTGCTTATATTAAAAGATGATAAACATTTTTTCACATTTAGTTCCTGATATGCATGTATATATTAATTAAGCAATATTATTATTATTATTAGTTAAGCAATATTTTAGCAATACGTGAAACTCAATATCCCACTATTCATATCATTTCTATTACAACTCATGACAAACAACATTTCGTGTCACACGATACATGTATAGCTGTATATTATATCAATAACAAAGATCTATTTTTTACAATAAAAGTCTTAAAATTTGGACAGAACTAAATAAAGAAAACAATTAATAACATTATGATGGGGAATAGGAGCACTTGGGAATAGAGATCTATCACTTAAATTTCCATTTCCTGAAAACCCTCTCCGACATAGTTTGTATACATTGTATATATGAACTGATTGATGGTCATTTAATACAGTTCAATTTTGCATAATACCAATCATATTCCAATACAATTCTTAAGTTATGAATACAACAAATTCTTTCACCCAGAGGGAAGGAAATATAGACAATTAGAAACCATTCCTCGAAATTTAGAAATAGAAAAACAAATTGGTGAAATTGGAAGACCAAATAGTTTTCAATAAAAATCAATTCTTGCCCGACATATACAAAAAATATTTGTAACAATGGATTGAAAACAATGACAAATAAATCTTGCCACAACATCTTCCTGTGGCTGATAACATCGCACTTACTCAGACAGTCCCTATTAAATGATATTCAACAATTAGAATCTAGTCGAATTAGACAAAAGTAGATTATTTGATGCCTAAGGGGAAAAAATAACTGAGTAGAGTTCTTACAGGACAATCAACAACAGTATAATATCTAATACCCAAAGGAACATCATAAACAACAGAGTAGACTTGTCAGTAACATCACAGTAATCTACCCTTTTAATGGTTTTGATACAGACACCTCAATCTAACTCAAAATTTCAGTAAAAGTGAAATGACAATAAAACAGATGCCTTTTTATGGTTTTGATAAATTCAAAGATACAATAAATAAATACTTGCTCAATATTTGTACTAATTTAGCAATTTTTGTTGGAATTTGAAAGTCGAGAATTAATTCTAAAGAAAATCCTAAATCCAATATTTCAGTTGTGCAGGAATGGTGAAGGTGTTATTGGTGAATCAGTAGAGATGTCACTGTTTGGTGAAGGGGTTACCGGCAGGGACGGGAGGAGCCCTGGTTTTGTAACAGGACACCTGCGACATATCCTTGTTTTTGGAGTGGTAGTGAGCTACAGCTACACATTTGGCAAGATTTGTATCGCACTCGCATGTCTTCTTGTAGCAGTTGTTCTTTTTGTCTGGCGAAAACAAAAACATCAAAATAGTGATACACCAGCAGGGTTCGTATAGGACTTCATGTAACAAATCTCACTTAACTGTAAGCCAAAGGCTAACTAATACCCCCGTTCCTATATAAACCAGACCTGTAAGCTTAAGGCTTACTAATGCAAAGCAATATAGTCTCCCACCAGTAATGAGTTAATCACTATTTTATTAAAAACAAACAAATAAAATAACAAAAAAATAAACAAGTATTTTGCACAAAGGGGCATAATTCCATCAAAAAGGGTTGAAATCCCAAATTAAAATGCTGTGCACAACTACATAAGGGTGATTCCAGTATACCCCCCCCCCCCTAACTTCGTTGCTAGGGTAATGACATTTAAGGAATTCAACTGAATGTTTCAGGAGTGCTTTTTTCATGAAAAACCTTTTACTTATGGAAATTTCAGATAATAATTTCAGAGAATATGCTTGGAAGCATTGATGAAATTCAACAACCATTTTATGATAATTCCTATTTTCAAGGAATTTAAATAGGATATGTTCTATCTACCACCCAAGCACGTGTAAGATACACATGCTTATGTGGATATGGTACCCCCTTGTTGGATAAACGATCCCACATTACATAATGTCACATAAAAATAATCTGGATTAAAAAAACACCCAATTATGATAATATCTAAATGCAACTTTATATGAAGCCACGAATACTTGTAATATTAAAACAATGAACATGAGCCTCCTCCCATGCTGTTCTGAATATAATTGAGATATTACTTACCGATACACTGTAATATTCTGTCTGGATGGGTTGCAAACTGGTATTTGTAGTGAATCCACTTTGGGTAGCAAGCTTCGACCACTCCGTAACAGTGGTCATGTAACATACAGCACCTGTTTATAAAAGGTTACAACCACAATATAGATTAACAAACAATGGTGGTTCTTATCAATAAATGTATCAAACCGTACAACTGAACAACTTGCAATGATCAATCTACAATATATTTTCATGGGACCTTTTATAAAATATGACATAAACTTTATTCATTTTACAACAATTATGAAACAAGTTATCTCAACTTATATATTAATCACTCTTGTTGGTCCGGATGTTAGCGCAAGGGGGAAACTTAGTGTGGGAGGAAACCAGAGTACCCGGAGTAAACCCACGTGGTTGGGCAGGTGACCCCAACCTTTTCATGTCAGATCGGGGAATTGAACCCCGGTCACCGTGGTGAAAGGCAAGTGCCCTATTCACAGCACCACCCGATCACCCCTTTCGAACTGTATTGCTAAAACAATAGGTTCCACAATGTTAAATTTAAGTATTTACAGAAATTCTATGAGTCCCATTAAAATTCTATGAGTAAAGGACTCGCAACTTATATTCAGATTTATCACTTAACAAGATAATCATCTTATAAGTCAACAGATTATACCTGCTCCCAAGAGAAGATAACCCTGCAATACGCAAAGACTGAATATCTGTCAGCCAGTGATTTATCCTGTTGGCTGGCAGTTCATTTTGCAAGGAACAAGACCTCGGGACGAGTCAATTTTCTTCTTACATGAACAGCCAAATTGTGATAAATTACACCATACTTCAATTACTATTTAATGCTTCATAAAACAAGTTTACCTATATTTGTTAATGTTTTAAAAAACTTTGTGAGGGGCCAGTTGGTTTTAAAGTCAACTGATCCATGGAGCCATCACTATTCACTTAAATTGACCCATGGTTTGTACCTGTCAACAGCGTCCACAGGGGCACCGTTTCCTCCCCAGCCACAGTAGCAACCATAGTTGTTGAATGCCAACCCACTCATATTGGTCATCTCGTTCAGAAGTTCGACAAGCTGCAACAGATCTCGCTTTTCTCTTGGAGCACCTGGTTAAAATACAAATCACTGACTATTACGAGATCAACTATTACAGTGTATCTATAAAGTGGACAAGGTCAACAGCTAATCGTATGATACCTTGCAATTGGCTGGCAGGATCTGAATGTGAACGACAGCACAACATCGGATACATTGGTTTGCAGAATCTAGAAGTGATCAAATGCTAATCATCAGATACATGATCAGTTGCCATTGCTGCCTCTATAAATTTGGTAAACATAAAATAAACCTATACATATATATACGCTGTATGATCGTACTTCAACTCAACATCTTTCCAGAGTCCGCCGATTTTTTTTCAAAATCAAATACGTTATGAGATGAAATAACATCTTGTGTGAGACTATTCCAGATATCAATTATTCTTTGAGTAAAGTAATGTTTTCTTATACTTAAATGACAATGTTGTTTGAGTATGTTTTACTGTGTCCACTAGATTTTCCTTGAGCGGCGAGATCAACAATCCCTCTACCTAATTCGGATCACATAGCCCATTCATAAACTTGAACACTTTGATCATTCTTTCATACATTGTATTTGTATTTCTATATTTTATTCTTACAGACATTGTATTTGACAGTGATCAAGGTGATCCAAATACGTATTTTTGTGTGTGTTTGGATGTCCATGTGAGTTCTTGTTATCACTCAAAGTATTAGTATGTTTTGTGTGTTTAGATGTCCATGTGAGTTCTTGTTATCAATCAAAGTATAAGTATGTTGTGGCAATAGTTTGTTTTTGTTATCATTTTCAAATGACTGGGATTTTTCTCCCAAAAGTGATAGGATCAATAAGCATTAATTGTAACGTTTTGTTTTCGTTAATTTTTTTTTCCATTTAATTTTATGCATATTTCTAAAACATAATAAGATCAAACCAAGGAAAAGGGTCCTTAGCAGGTTAATATGTAGGAAGTTCTTTAGATTTTTAGAAACTTTACACGTCGTTTATATAATACAAAGTTAAAATAAAACAAGAGGCCCAGAGGGCCTGTATCGCTCACCTGGATAAACAATCTTGGCAAAAGATTCTCCTAATAAGATCCAAGGGAATTGGCCAGACCCCAAGGCCAAACCTTGTAGCATATCTGTATTAGATTTGTTTAAATGCCCAGCAAGTTTATGTATGGTTATGGGGGGGGGGATCACAACTGTTTACAAGCTTTGACAAGGTGCGTAATTATAAGAAACTAGGTCCCTAGGGGTTGTGGCCAGACCCCAGGGTCAATTCTAATATCATGACTGCATTCGTCTCTTTATGCCCAGCATTTGTTTATATATAATAAGTTTTGGGGTGGGAATCTCAACCGTTTCAAAGTTATGACCCAGGAGTCAAGTTTGCAAGGATGGGGCAGACCCTGATGGTCAATTCTAATATCATGAAAGCATTTGTCTCTTTATGCCCAACAATTGCATATATAGTTCTGGGTAGGAAATCTTCACCGTTTCAAAGTTATGACCCTGGGGTTAGTCTCCAAGGGTGGAGCCAGACCCCAGAGCCATCCTGGAAGCATATGTCTATTCTTCTCTTTATACTCAGCAATTGTATATAGGGTTATACAGTGGGGATCTCGAACAATTCCAAGTATTAAATTATTTTTGGTCCCACCCCTTAGCCCAGGGGGTCAGCCCCACTATTTGTACAATTTTGAATCCCCACCTCCCATGAATGCTTCCGACCAAATATGATTTATATCCAGTGCATAGTTTTACAGAAGAAGTTGTTTATAGCAATAAAGCCAAGTTTCCCCCTTTTGGCCCCGCCCTCAACTCCCTGGGGGTCAGCCCAACCATTTGTACAATTTTGAATCCCCACTACCTAGGGATGCTTCCAGTCAAATATGGTTGATATCCATGGCATGGTTCTACAGAAGCTAAAGATGAGTATTGCATTGATCTGACACCATATCCTTACCTCCACCACAGCTAAAGATGAGTATTACATTGATCTGACACCATATCCTTACCTTCACCACAGCTAAAGTTGAGTATTACATTGATCTGACACCATATCCTTACCTTCACCACAGCTAAAGATGAGTATTACATTGATCTGACTACATATCCTTACCTTCACCACAGCTAAAGATGAGTATTACATTGATCTGACACCATATCCTTACCTTCACCACAGCTAAAGATGAGTATTACATTGATCTGACACCATATCCTTACCTTCACCACAGCTAAAGATGAGTATTACATTGATCTGACACCATATCCTTACCTTCACCACAGCTAAAGATGAGTATTACATTGATCTGACACCATATCCTTACCTTCACCACAGCTAAAGATGAGTATTACATTGATCTGACACCATATCCTTACCTTCACCACAGCTAAAGATGAGTATTACATTGATCTGACACCATATCCTTACCTTCACCACAGCTAAAGATGAGTATTACATTGATCTGACACCATATCCTTACCTTCACCACAGCTAAAGATGAGTATTACATTGATCTGACACCATATCCTTACCTTCACCACAGCTAAAGATGAGTATTACATTGATCTGACACCATATCCTTACCTTCACCACAGCTAAAGATGAGTATTACATTGATCTGACACCATATCCTTACCTTCACCACAGCTAAAGATGAGTATTACATTGATCTGACACCATATCCTTACCTTCACCACAGCTAAAGATGAGTATTACATTGATCTGACACCATATCCTTACCTTCACCACAGCTAAAGATGAGTATTACATTGATCTGACACCATATCCTTACCTTCACCACAGCTAAAGATGAGTATTACATTGATCTGACACCATATCCTTACCTTCACCACAGCTAAAGATGAGTATTACATTGATCTGACACCATATCCTTACCTTCACCACAGCTAAAGATGAGTATTACATTGATCTGACACCATATCCTTACCTTCACCACAGCTAAAGATGAGTATTACATTGATCTGACACCATATCCTTACCTTCACCACAGCTAAAGATGAGTATTACATTGATCTGACACCATATCCTTACCTTCACCACAGCTAAAGATGAGTATTACATTGATCTGACACCATATCCTTACCTTCACCACAGCTAAAGATGAGTATTACATTGATCTGACACCATATCCTTACCTTCACCACAGCTAAAGATGAGTATTACATTGATCTGACACCATATCCTTACCTTCACCACAGCTAAAGATGAGTATTACATTGATCTGACACCATATCCTTACCTTCACCACAGCTAAAGATGAGTATTACATTGATCTGACACCATATCCTTACCTTCACCACAGCTAAAGATGAGTATTACATTGATCTGACACCATATCCTTACCTTCACCACAGCTAAAGATGAGTATTACATTGATCTGACACCATATCCTTACCTTCACCACAGCTAAAGATGAGTATTACATTGATCTGACACCATATCCTTACCTTCACCACAGCTAAAGATGAGTATTACATTGATCTGACACCATATCCTTACCTTCACCACAGCTAAAGATGAGTATTACATTGATCTGACACCATATCCTTACCTTCACCACAGCTAAAGATGAGTATTACATTGATCTGACACCATATCCTTACCTTCACCACAGCTAAAGATGAGTATTACATTGATCTGACACCATATCCTTACCTTCACCACAGCTAAAGATGAGTATTACATTGATCTGACACCATATCCTTACCTTCACCACAGCTAAAGATGAGTATTACATTGATCTGACACCATATCCTTACCTTCACCACAGCTAAAGATGAGTATTACATTGATCTGACACCATATCCTTACCTTCACCACAGCTAAAGATGAGTATTACATTGATCTGACACCATATCCTTACCTTCACCACAGCTAAAGATGAGTATTACATTGATCTGACACCATATCCTTACCTTCACCACAGCTAAAGATGAGTATTACATTGATCTGACACCATATCCTTACCTTCACCACAGCTAAAGATGAGTATTACATTGATCTGACACCATATCCTTACCTTCACCACAGCTAAAGATGAGTATTACATTGATCTGACACCATATCCTTACCTTCACCACAGCTAAAGATGAGTATTACATTGATCTGACACCATATCCTTACCTTCACCACAGCTAAAGATGAGTATTACATTGATCTGACACCATATCCTTACCTTCACCACAGCTAAAGATGAGTATTACATTGATCTGACACCATATCCTTACCTTCACCACAGCTAAAGATGAGTATTACATTGATCTGACACCATATCCTTACCTTCACCACAGCTAAAGATGAGTATTACATTGATCTGACACCATATCCTTACCTTCACCACAGCTAAAGATGAGTATTACATTGATCTGACACCATATCCTTACCTTCACCACAGCTAAAGATGAGTATTACATTGATCTGACACCATATCCTTACCTTCACCACAGCTAAAGATGAGTATTACATTGATCTGACACCATATCCTTACCTTCACCACAGCTAAAGATGAGTATTACATTGATCTGACACCATATCCTTACCTTCACCACAGCTAAAGATGAGTATTACATTGATCTGACACCATATCCTTACCTTCACCACAGCTAAAGATGAGTATTACATTGATCTGACACCATATCCTTACCTTCACCACAGCTAAAGATGAGTATTACATTGATCTGACACCATATCCTTACCTTCACCACAGCTAAAGATGAGTATTACATTGATCTGACACCATATCCTTACCTTCACCACAGCTAAAGATGAGTATTACATTGATCTGACACCATATCCTTACCTTCACCACAGCTAAAGATGAGTATTACATTGATCTGACACCATATCCTTACCTTCACCACAGCTAAAGATGAGTATTACATTGATCTGACACCATATCCTTACCTTCACCACAGCTAAAGATGAGTATTACATTGATCTGACACCATATCCTTACCTTCACCACAGCTAAAGATGAGTATTACATTGATCTGACACCATATCCTTACCTTCACCACAGCTAAAGATGAGTATTACATTGATCTGACACCATATCCTTACCTTCACCACAGCTAAAGATGAGTATTACATTGATCTGACACCATATCCTTACCTTCACCACAGCTAAAGATGAGTATTACATTGATCTGACACCATATCCTTACCTTCACCACAGCTAAAGATGAGTATTACATTGATCTGACACCATATCCTTACCTTCACCACAGCTAAAGATGAGTATTACATTGATCTGACACCATATCCTTACCTTCACCACAGCTAAAGATGAGTATTACATTGATCTGACACCATATCCTTACCTTCACCACAGCTAAAGATGAGTATTACATTGATCTGACACCATATCCTTACCTTCACCACAGCTAAAGATGAGTATTACATTGATCTGACACCATATCCTTACCTTCACCACAGCTAAAGATGAGTATTACATTGATCTGACACCATATCCTTACCTTCACCACAGCTAAAGATGAGTATTACATTGATCTGACACCATATCCTTACCTTCACCACAGCTAAAGATGAGTATTACATTGATCTGACACCATATCCTTACCTTCACCACAGCTAAAGATGAGTATTACATTGATCTGACACCATATCCTTACCTTCACCACAGCTAAAGATGAGTATTACATTGATCTGACACCATATCCTTACCTTCACCACAGCTAAAGATGAGTATTACATTGATCTGACACCATATCCTTACCTTCACCACAGCTAAAGATGAGTATTACATTGATCTGACACCATATCCTTACCTTCACCACAGCTAAAGATGAGTATTACATTGATCTGACACCATATCCTTACCTTCACCACAGCTAAAGATGAGTATTACATTGATCTGACACCATATCCTTACCTTCACCACAGCTAAAGATGAGTATTACATTGATCTGACACCATATCCTTACCTTCACCACAGCTAAAGATGAGTATTACATTGATCTGACACCATATCCTTACCTTCACCACAGCTAAAGATGAGTATTACATTGATCTGACACCATATCCTTACCTTCACCACAGCTAAAGATGAGTATTACATTGATCTGACACCATATCCTTACCTTCACCACAGCTAAAGATGAGTATTACATTGATCTGACACCATATCCTTACCTTCACCACAGCTAAAGATGAGTATTACATTGATCTGACACCATATCCTTACCTTCACCACAGCTAAAGATGAGTATTACATTGATCTGACACCATATCCTTACCTTCACCACAGCTAAAGATGAGTATTACATTGATCTGACACCATATCCTTACCTTCACCACAGCTAAAGATGAGTATTACATTGATCTGACACCATATCCTTACCTTCACCACAGCTAAAGATGAGTATTACATTGATCTGACACCATATCCTTACCTTCACCACAGCTAAAGATGAGTATTACATTGATCTGACACCATATCCTTACCTTCACCACAGCTAAAGATGAGTATTACATTGATCTGACACCATATCCTTACCTTCACCACAGCTAAAGATGAGTATTACATTGATCTGACACCATATCCTTACCTTCACCACAGCTAAAGATGAGTATTACATTGATCTGACACCATATCCTTACCTTCACCACAGCTAAAGATGAGTATTACATTGATCTGACACCATATCCTTACCTTCACCACAGCTAAAGATGAGTATTACATTGATCTGACACCATATCCTTACCTTCACCACAGCTAAAGATGAGTATTACATTGATCTGACACCATATCCTTACCTTCACCACAGCTAAAGATGAGTATTACATTGATCTGACACCATATCCTTACCTTCACCACAGCTAAAGATGAGTATTACATTGATCTGACACCATATCCTTACCTTCACCACAGCTAAAGATGAGTATTACATTGATCTGACACCATATCCTTACCTTCACCACAGCTAAAGATGAGTATTACATTGATCTGACACCATATCCTTACCTTCACCACAGCTAAAGATGAGTATTACATTGATCTGACACCATATCCTTACCTTCACCACAGCTAAAGATGAGTATTACATTGATCTGACACCATATCCTAACCTTCACCACAGCTAAAGATGAGTATTACATTGATCTGACACCATATCCTTACCTTCACCACAGCTAAAGATGAACAACAAGATAACTGCTGAACAGCAAAGCATTGATTCTAGTTTGATCTGCAAAAAGAGAAAAAAACATCTTTTAAAACTTCAAACAGCATATAGTACATGTGTATATATATAACGTTACTTATTTAACAGAAAAGCTATTTTCATGTAGTTCAGTATGGTATTTCAGTGGTGGACCCAGGGGTGTTGCCCTAGTTGCCCAGGCATTCAGGCAACACCCTTTTTTCTGTGTCCAAAAATAATTTGGACCAAGGTTTTCCTCCATTTCATATGGGATTTCCTTCTAATATCAACCACCCCTTGAACTATGAATTTCTATGGCTTCCCCTTGCCAGCAGTTTGCATATATATATCTATATGTTAGACATTTTGAGAAAAAATTATCCAAAAGTTTTTTATAGTAATTTTTCTAGATGTAAGACTTGTGATTCCGGAAATCTGGTTTTAAATGATTTTTACCAATATTTTAAAGATATTGCCAACAATTCAGTTGACTTTTCTCCCGTCAATGTTCAGCAAGTTGAAGTTGATAACGAATGTATTTACCCGGAGCTTGATGATGATTTCAGTCTTGATGAATTATTAGTTTCAATGAAAGGGTCATCCAAAGGTAAATCCGCCGGTTTAGACAATGTCATTAATGAATATTTTATTGAGTATATTGATGTTTTTGCACCAGTTTTCCAGAAATTGTTTAATACTATATTATAGGTAGGATACTTTCCTAAAGCTTGGTCAGAAGGAGTTGTTATACCTCTGCATAAAAAGGTGATAAAACGACGTAAATAACTATAGGGGAATCACGTTAGTTAGTCATATGGCCAAGTTATTTACCTCACTCTTGACTAAACGAATGTTAAAGTGGAGCGATAGGGCGAGAATGTAATAACAGATGCTCAGTTTGGTTTTAAGCCCGGGAGTGGTACCAGAGATGCAATTTTTGTACTTCATACCTTGATTACTAAAACTTTACAGAGTAATAAAAGGCTTTATTGTGTTTTCGTAGACTATAGAAAAGCGTTTGATAGTATATCACATGATAAATTGTGGTGTAAATTTTGGAAATTGTGTGTTAGAGGACGGATGCTTAATGTTATCAAATCTATATACAAGAGTGTTAAGTCATGTGTAAAGCTTCATGGTAAATTATCTCCTATGTACGACTTACAGGTCGGATTATTACAAGGAGAATCTTTATCTCCAATAATGTTTTCTTTATTTGTCAACGACATGGAATCCGAATTGATTAAGTCAAATTGCCAAAGTTATCACTTGCAATTACTTAATTTTAAATTATGTATGCCGATGACACGGTATTTTTTTCTGAGGATGTATTTGACCTACAAAATATGTTGGATTTTTAATCACTTATTCTCGACGTTGGAATTTATCTGTAAATGTAGACAAAACAAAAATTGTTGTTTTTAGGAAAAGTAAATGATTGTATCCAAACGAGCAGTGTATTTTTGATGGTAAATCTCTAGAAGTGGTAGATCAATTTTGCTATTTAGGTTTAGTTTTTAATTATAATGGTAAATTTACCATTGCATTGAATAAAATTGCTGTACAAGGAAGGAAAGCTTATTTTCTTCTTAATCGGAAAGCGAAAAGATTTTTGTTGAATGAAAAGACCAAGTTATCTATATTTCATACTTATATATCATGTATTGTGAATTACGGGTGTGAAGTATGGGGTTATAGTCCTTCACCGCAGATTGAAAATATACATTTATTATTTTTGAAAACCGTATTGGGTGTCAGGAAAACAGTAACTAATGCCATGGTGTATTTTGAACTTGGTCGTTACCCTTTGCATATACAGTGTAGGATTGCTATTGTAAAGTACTGGCTGCAAATATTAAAGACTAATAACTGTATTTTGAGGGCCTGTTACGATGAACTTTTAGAGCTTCATAACAGGAAACCAAATTGTAAAGCAAATTCGGTTTATCAACCGAGACGTGATTTGTGTATGTTGGGTTTTGGAGATGTGTGGTTGGCACAATGTGTAACAAATGAGAAATCTTTTTTATTATTATATATATAACGCATAAAGGATACTTTTATTCAGGAAATGAGAAACATATTCGAGACATCTTCAAAATGTTTGTTGTATAAACACATTGTTGACTGTTTTGATCTACAATTGTATTTTACAAAACCGCTATTTAGAAAAAATGAATGTATTCTTGCGAAATATAGATTGCAAGCACATCACTTTAATATAGAGACAGGTAGATATAATGCAGTGCCTCCAAACCAGAGATTGTGTACTTTATGTGATCTTGGAGATGTCGAGGATGAGTTTCATTTCATTCTTATGTGTCCTGTGTTTTTAGAATTAAGAGTATCGTATATCAAGCCATATTATCGTATTTGTCCTTCTGTGTTTAAATTAATAGAGCTACTGTCTAGCAAAAAAAATAAACTTATTAGAAATTTAAGTAAGTACTTGATTCAGGCAACTGTTAAGAGAAGTTGTATATTATGAAATATAAGCTGCATCAAATTCTTGCTATAAACGTTTTGTTACTGTATAATGCGATTGAGATCTATGTCTTTTATTTCACAATGAGTTATAATCTCATTTCATTATATAATATATAGTACTCGTTCTACCTTTATGTTGAGGTTGTATGATTGACTTTGAAGTTTTGTTATTTCCTAGAAATTTGGTTAGATTAAGGCTTTATTTGTACTATTTCCTAAACGACTAAATTATGCTTCATAAGAGTCCGCTATGTTACCTTAGGAAAACCTTAAAAGTTTTCCCAAACTTATGCCAATTTCATAATTTGTGAATATTATGTATGGAATTGAATTTATTGCATATGTTCTCCGCCATTGTACAAGATATCTGTAAAGTATTTATCTATATGTATATTTCTGTACGCCTATATGCAATGTGCATTTGGTAATAAATTGAATTGAATTGAATATAAGCCTAAGGATGTTGCCCAAACCACGGACTTAATCTAATTCCGTGCCCAAACAAAGAGTCCGCTACTTATATCCTAAACAATAGGGGATTAATCCTTCATTGTCTATAAATTATATCAGTAGGGTCTCCAACCGTCAGGTCCGTGGTCAAGGCTCACCTGACTAACTCTACCTAATCTTATTGTTCTAATGTCACGGTGTGGTGATCACCCTGTCAGTTGGGAGAGGACTATATACACTGTACCATCTATTGGAATTAATAACCAATGTTAGCATAAAAGCTTGGCGTGTACACCGTTTTTATCAGAATTGTTTTTAATATACAATATTTATTATTTATAAGGGTGTTGCCCTTGTTCAATAAAAGACAAGCAGTTAAAACATAATTCATATTTATGACAAAATAAATAAATATTAAATTGCCAAAATGCTCACCTAAACTACATGTCAAGTTCAAACTCAAGTTCTTTATTACCTTAAGTCTTTCTACTCATCAGTTGCAAAGTTACAAAGTGCAATATTTACATTGCAGCATTATCTACAGAAAAGACCCCCCCTAAACTTTGAAAAGTGTCCATTGTAAGGACCTGACACAAACATCAACATTTTAACCAAAATCCCACATTTTTACCAATTTAAAAAAACACTTTTTATAGCCATAAAATATGAATACTCTAATAAAATATAACTTGGAAACTCGGAAAACTATTCTACGCCTCTCTCGATCTGTTTTTCAATGGAAATAATGTCCGATAAATTCTTGCTTTTCTACGTGTATATATATATATATACACTACGTACAAATTATATTAGTACCAGATAGGTGCCAAAATCTGTCTGTTTCGGAGTTTAAAAATTTTGGGCAACACCTTATATTATATTTATATAAAAGAAGGTATTTTGTTGCAACCGGCACATCAACTATAAAATCAAAACTTTTTTTCTGGTCTTGTCAAGAATCAATAAATATTCCAGTTCCAAGATCTGAATTTTTGAATATCGCTAAACATTGTCAAATTGTAGTAGCGTGATGTTAGTCCGAAATAAACGACTGCGATTAACGTTATCTCCTTTCAAAATACAGTAGGCCTAACTGATGGATTAGTTTGTAGTTATACAAAAAACTGCTTTTGCTGGAAATTTCTACAACTATTTTAATCAATGTACACACTTCCTTGTGATTTGGATAATCTTTGATCCGAGACAGAAGGGAAGATCTAACATGTACAGTACCCAATCACTGAATCAGGATGTAACTAGGCAAACTCCCCTCCCAAGGTCGACATGCCACATGACTTTGTCAGACAGACGACACTGCTCACGTGTACAGGAGAACTTATCTATATTTTCTTATTTGTCTCTGTCTCCTAAATATTTGAAAACATTTTACATACCGTCATTTCCCTCGAGTTACCAGTCACGAGCAAACCAGTATAGGTTAATCCCTACTTACGGGTATACGTAGCCTAACCGGATGTAAACTTTAGATTTGCGAACACACAAAACGTTCACACCTTTCATTCAAAACCAATCATTGAATTATTCAGGTTATGGCATAATGTCTAATCAAAGTACTGGAAAGTACTGGGACTCTAAACATGTATAGCATGCAATGGGAATGCAGCTCTTCCCTGTTATGATAGTGGTGTAGCAGAACTTGTTTATTATCTAAGCATAAAACTGAAGAAACTAGTTTTAATGAGCTATTTTAAAATAGGCCGAATGATGTTAACAAGCAGACCAGAGACGTATATAACACATATATATGGCTTTATACGTCTCTGAGCAGACTAAAGTCTAACGTTAACGTTACAGTGACACGTGACCTCATTTTCCCATGGGATTCTTTGTTGATTTACTTTTTTTTTTTCAAAACTTTCGTGACTACGTTTGACCACGGACTTAGATAACAATTCCGTGGTTTGACATCCAATGTTTATGAAACTTGGCATCCTGTTAGTTAAACTGGAGTGTCCGGTAGGACCTACCGGTATCAGTGTGACTAGTTGTGATGGACACATAGGGAGGGGTTTGCTGCTACAGACAGTAATAAACCTAGCCGCTGTGTTTGTAAACACTACCATGCTACAGTAGTGATCAGCTGTCTGTCGTATGCTGTTCTAGGCTCAGTTCTTCACACATTGTCAGCTTTTTCTTTAAAATTTAATTTGGAAACTGTACCATTATGGATTCTGTCTGCTAAAAGTCTAACTTATTTATTTTTATACATGTGTCTCTATCATTTGACCATTTACTATCACATATTTTAGTTTACGTAGTTAGGTTTTTTTTATGGTTTTTACTATATTAAAAAACTTTTCTTATAAGCTCACAAGTTTGATCAACTGGTTCTTGACTAACATCATAAGTATATATACTATACAAGAAAAAAATAAGAAAACAACTGATACTTATGAACATGAAGTCACACTTCAATGTATGCTTTGCCTCACACATCAAGGTAAATTTCCCAACATGGCCACTTCGTTCAACTGCTTTAATGTCAATGGATTTGCCGCATTCCTTCCCATGTAATTGGACCCCGGCTAGCATGTTTCTTACAGCAGATTTGGTAATTAGAAATATGTCCTCATTTGTTGATTCCAAATTAAAATGAAGATATTGGTTAAAACATATGTTTTCATATGTGTTTTCATTCTGTTCCTAGTCCTCATAAGTATTCAAATACAAGTCCAATGCTTCATTTAGAATCCTTGTGTTTGAAACCTGTGATATTTTCCGGTTAATCAACAACTTTGCTCTGTCTATTTTGTTAAACATCTGTATTTTTCATTTTGAACAAAAAATCTTATATTTCCTGATATAGGCTGCTGTCACCTGCTTTTCGTTTTTCATTTCTGTTTTTCATCATCTCTCCTGAGTCAGAAACAACTTTTCTCCTCGAGTTGTCTCTTCTATTTTCTTCTCGAATTCGTTTGGCTGTAGGGGGATTGTGGTCTTCCATGTTTTACTGTTGTTTCAAGCTCTCTATTTATTAGAATGAAAGAACCTCTGAAATCTATACATTTACAATGCTAGACTGAAGAGGTCCTGATGGGGTATATCAATTGTTGTCCAAAATAGAATTAACAATGTGTGAATCCAATGAAAATCAGTTTGTACAAATGTATTTCATCTGAAGCATATGGTATGTAACGTTTATAAATATTGTTATTTTTAAAGTTAACAAATATGTCCAAAAAACATGTTTTCTCTTTTTTTCTTTCTTACTTGACCAGCCCTTTTTGGACCATTCTCGACCATTCTATGTATTTCAAAATGGGTAATAAGACGTTAATTTCAGCAAAGTTACTGACTTTATCTGATTAGCTTTTACTTTGTATCCATAGTCTGAAGGAAAGGCAGTGTTTTACGTGTTGCTTCAAAGTTATTTCTGGTATTTTTCCCACTAAACTGTGGTTTGTTGAACATTCCAACTACATAACATTTTTCTATCCCACCCTCATAATATAATGATTTGGCCTTTTTCTACATCCCCTACTAGTGACCATTCCCCGCCACAAATTAGTGCACCAAATATTTTCTTTCATCTTTGTTTTGGCTCAAGATAGGGCCACAAAATGGAGGAGGAAAGAAAAACAGTAAATCTGCTGTTGTCAAGAGAGCAGCTAGATGTAACCATGTCACTGTTTGGACACTACAGTTGGGTCTTTGATGAAGCTGTTATTAGCAATATGTGGGATATCGATGTCACACAGGAAATTTCACAAAATACTGTCAGCAACCAAGCAGGTGTTGCAGATGTAACCAATGTTGAAACCAGTGAAAATATTCAAGATTCACCAGTAGGTGTTCCTAATGATGACCAGAGTGGCCAGGCAATGCAAGATGATATTGCTGAAGGAGAGTGTGACAAATGCCTATGTGAACCTTGTATAACAAGTAAACCCCAGGCTTGGTTAGGTCATGGGTTATCTCCACATGTACGAAATTCTGGTTTACGAAAGGAACGTTATAAAAAGGTCTGGACATTTCTATCAAGAAAAAGAGTTTCGATTGACCCACGATATCAAAAGAGGACAGCACAGTCCCTAGGTCACGGTTATGTGTGGACAAAACGGGAAGTAATTCCAGAATGTGTGCTTACAACTGTAAGGGTTCTGTTCCCTCCTGGTAGATCATATATATGGGGCATAGACGGGCATAACTTTACAGCTGGTCACTTGTGTCATTATTTAGTATTTTGTGAACTGTGTGATAATGAAATTGAGTGAAAGTATAGTTTCACTGGATGGAAATCTCTGATGTATATTCTAAATTGTTTTTCAATGGATTATATGAAAATGGATGTATACAAAGAATTAATTTGAAAAGGTATGCAAGCTTGCATGTTTATGGCAAACATTCTATACTAACAGATTTACTACATCGTTGACATCCTCACACCATGACTTACTGTGAACTCTCAGGTTCAAGTTCATATGTGCGGGTCAACAAGGGTCAATTTCCCTTATATGGCACAGACAATAGTCAAAATCTGTGCACTTCAGATTTTTTTCTTCTAATTTCTACATATTAAAACATTTTTTATAACTGATATTTAGGTAAAATGTCACTGATACCCTTATGTACTTCTGTGCCAAAAAATAGTTTTTAAATGTTATTTATTACTTGTACCTTCCCTGAACATTTTCTCTGAAGTGAAATGTGCTAAAAAACTGAAACATTTTGAAATAAGCCCCGCCCATTTCCTTTTATAGTCTGGGCTCCAGTTTAAGCATTAAACTGCATTCTTTGGAAAGTTATTGTCCAATAATTCTCACAAGAATGCAGACAAATTGAATAATAATAATAAAAAGAAGAATTCGAGGTTCTTACATATACCGCTTTATCACAACCTAGTTCGAAGGTCGCCTCAAAGCAGTTCACAAATTATTATCCGTGGTTATAGGGCCTTTGCAACCAGGAAATATCTTTCTCAACTTCCTCGGGTGACCGTAGTCCGAATTATTCTGACGTTTTATCGACTTTTTTCATATCGGTCTGTCGTCGATTAACGTCAGAACTCCGGCCCTCTATAATATGCGACCCGCTCCCGGAGCGCACTTCAAACAAATCGTCACTTTCACACACATGTCGCACATGGATCGAACGATGTATTCTTTATGCACAAAATGAACATGCATAACATGCCTCAAACAACCAATACAATCACTACGTGACTAAAATATCTCCGGCCTACGTCATAACGTTGGGAAATACCTTCGGTAACGCGAGATCTCGTCAAGGTATGTGACATTGCTCATGGCCTAATTTCCATTAAAAACATGGGTTGGTATAGAAAACGTTAGAAAATACTTTTCGTAATGATCTTTGAAACATGTTATTGATACCACCTAGTGCATAAAGAATAGATCTTTCGATCCATGTGCGACATGTGTGTGAAAGTGACGATTTGTTTGAAGTGCGCTCCGGGAGCGGGTCGCATACTATAGAGGGCCGGAGTTCTGACGTTAATCGACGACAGACCGATACGAAAAAGTCGATAAAACGTCAGAATAATTCGGACTAGGGTGACCGTTGCTGCCATTTCGGCGCTCACAGCTAGCATTCTACAATTTTAGCACTGCCCAACCACGTACTCATTTACAGCTGAGTAGACTGGAACAAGCGGGGTAAAGTATCTTGTTAAAGACACAACACACTGCCGTGGCGCGGCTCGAACCCTCAACCCTTCAGTCACGAGCCTGGCGTCCTACCACTAGACTACCGTGCCTCCTAACGCGCGTTATTCAAATTGTCTGCAATCCTGTGAGATTTATAGGACAACAACTTTCCAAAGAAGGCAGTTTAATTAAGCATTGAACTACTTTCGGTTGGCATTCATAGGCAATATAAATGCCAACTGGACAAAGAGGAATTCAATGAAGCGCCCTAGCGCTTCATGTTGGATTTGCCTTTGTCCAGTTGGCATTCATATTGCCTATGAATGCCAACTGAAAGCAGTTCAATACTTGTATTTACCATTTTCAGAATCTGTTCATCTCATAGAAAATTCAATTACACTTATTATTCAGATTTTAGTTCAAATAATGTATGCATCGTGTATGCTTATTCAATGAATAGAACAGCCATAGCCCAGCCCAGGGAGGGTCAGTGGTATCCAACGTAACAATTATGACGTCATAATAACGATGACGTCAACAATTGGTCCATGGCATTCATAGCATGTATAAATGCCAACTGAAATCGGTAGGGTTATATAGTGGCAATGCCATACGATGGTAAATATTGCTTAAATAATTCCCATAAACACAATGCTAAATGTTGCCGTAAAAAGTGGTTTTGCCAAATAACCAATCATGGTCAGAAATCTTTGCAACAGTTAATCATGTTAATATAACCATTACAAGTGGTAGATAATTTTCAACCTTTTAGCAGAATCAAACAAATTTTTGACTAAAAACAAAGCTAGGGAAATTAATTTCCCAGAATTACATTTGTAATTTAACATAGAATTCAAGGGAAACAGACGTGTCA